ACACACACACACACACACACACACACACACACACAAACACACGAATAGAAACAGAAACAGGGAGAAAGGCAGGCAGGTAGACAGAATCACCCACACAGAGTGGGAGCAAGAGACAAGGAGACTTACAGAGAGACAGAGACATGGAGAAGGATCCAGAGGAATACAGAGACATGGGAAGTGGGGAAAGACATACATAATAGACAAATATAAAGAACCAGAGAGAGAGAGAGACACACACACACACACACACACACAGAGAATGGAGAAACAGAGATACAGAGAAGGAGCCAGAAAGAGAGAGGAAGACAGAGAAAAATAGACACAGGAGACACAGAGACAGAGATATGTAGAGAGACATAGAGGAGACAAAGACAGAGAGAAAACTGACAGAAGTAGACACAGGACACACACATACTCGCAGCCAGACACAAAGACATAAATGACAGAGAGAGGTGGGAGCCCACAGGGGTCAGAGATGCAGACAGTCAGACCTAGGTGGACAAAGATCCAAAGATCAGTGCTGCTCTCCCTGGCATCCTCTCTGGGTGGGAGGGCCCGCAAACTCCTGGCTTTGAGCCTGCAGTCAGTCGGTTGCTGTCCTAGGTGCTGCCCTGGAGAGTAGAGATGCTCACACTGGACTGGGAGGGTCAGGGATGGGGAAAGCCTGTGGTAAGCTTGGGAGTGGTGGGTAGAACAGGGGAGGAAGGGGACAAGGCTGCTCCTTTCACTGGATGTACTAGACAAGGTGACCTTGCCAGCTGCCTTGCTATGTCTGGTCATGGAGGAGAGCTGGTATGGGAGGAATGTCTGCTGGAGGTAGGCTGCACACATGCCTGTTTGGAGTCCAGGAGTGGGTGCTGTGGGCATGGACAGTACTCCTGTGGTTTAGTCTTTTCACTGCTTGGGTGGGGTTGGGGGTTTCTCACTCCTGCTTCCTTCCTTGCCACCCCCCACACCACACCCACTGCCAGCCAGGATGGGTGTGTCCTATCTAGCTGCCTGGTTTTGATGTTCTCTGCCAAAGGCAGGGACCAACACAGGGTTCCCCTTCTCCGCCCCCAGCATCCTACTCTCCTAATGGTGATGTCTGGGGCTTCTGTGAGAATCAGCTCCATTTGGGGCTTGGAAACTGGAGGACTGCAGCCCCTCCCACTCCCCTCTGCAGCAGGGCTGGCTCTGTGTGCTGGTAGGAGGAGGGGCTGGAGAAGCCAGCTCAGACTGGTGGGGTTTTCCCTCTGGTGTTGCCATGAGCAGCCTCAGCTTTTCTTGTTAGGGATTCCCCTGATCCTGTATGGAGTACTCTTGTTTAGTGCTGTGAACATCAGGCTGAATTGGGGGTGGGGCAGTGGAGGAGAGCTGGCTCTGTCATCTACCAGGCTCTAGTGGGAAGCATCTTGCTTCAGGGAGACTATTTCACATTCCCAGGCCCTGAGGCCTTTCCACCTCCATGTCTAAGGCTCCTTATAATTCTGGTGGGGGATGTTGTCCCAGTGGAACAGGGCACAATTATGCCTGCTGTTCTTTGGAATTGGGGAGGGAAGGTCTGGCTTCTACGACTGAAAAAATTACTTCCCTCTCCTTTCTTCCTTTTAGCCCCCAGCTTTGTGGATGCCCAAAGGCCTCCAGGGCAGAGAGACCTACGAATAGACAGGTGGAGAGCAGGTGGAGGGTATACTGGGACCTCTCAGGGAAAGCAGGTGGGATAAGCCTAGGATTTGAATGGAGGATGATTTTAACAAGGGAAGCAGAGGCCACCCTTTGATAAGGGGTGCATAAGGCTGCTGGAGCAGGATCTCTTTGTCACCTTTCCATGTCCCAACTTGGTTGTCTCCATTAGGTGCCCACGGCCTGCGAGAGGAGCCCGAGTTTGTGACTGCAAGAGCTGGCGAGGGCGTGGTCCTGCGATGCGATGTGATCCACCCGGTGACAGGACAGCCCCCGCCCTATGTTGTAGAGTGGTTCAAGTTTGGGGTCCCCATTCCTATCTTCATCAAGTTTGGCTACTACCCGCCCCACGTGGACCCTGAGTATGCAGGTAAGGTTTGGATACTGAGCCCTGCCCCCTCGGGAGACTTAGGACCTGAGGGCAATGGGTACTATAAACCTGAGCACAAGATCTTCCTCTTATTTTGACCTTTCTGCTCCTATTCAGGCCTTAGTGGTCACCCATGAGTTCCCAAGTGCCTTTGCTTTTGTCTCTATCAGTTTTTATCTTTGTCTTGACTGTTCCATTATCTCTGTTTTTCACCATTTCTGCCTCTTTGCTCCCATCTTTTCCCACTGATAGATTTTCATTAAGTGGCAGGAGGGGAGGAAATAGGAGACAGACTTAAAGCCCTCCTAAACCACACAGCTGGGGGTTTGGAGAGAGGCCAGAAGTCCCAGGGCAAGCTAGAGAGAGAGGCCCCACTGTGAGAAAGCAAGGACTCCCTCTCCAGGGAAGGAGGGGAGTCAGATCGCCCCACCCTTAGGCAGGTGTGCTGCAGAATCTCTAGTCTGATTAGGCCCACTCACTCCCTCCTGGTTCTGAAGTTGGGGTGGCCTTCCATCCCTAAGTGTAGTGTGCATCTCCATGCCCCCGCCTACCCGCCCATCTGTGCCCCTGGCAGGTGTCAGTCTCTGTCTCTTCTGCCACCTGTCTTCCCCTTCCCTTGGCCCTGTTTGTGTCCTGCTCTGCAATTACTCTGTCAGCAGTGGCCTCCCTGTGACTCACTGCTGCCGCCCGCCAGCCTGCCAGGGAGGAGGGTGTGGGGTGTGTGTGTGTGTGTGTGTGTGTGTGTGTATGAGTGAGTGAATGTCTGTGAGGATGAACATATGCTGGTATTGCGAGGAAGACAGGAAACAGGCAGGGCACTGCTTTTATTTTGTCTTTGTTGTGGCTTATGAGGTCTGAGTTGCCTTCCTCTAAGAAGGCTTCTTTTTCTGTCTCTCTTTCTTCTGAGCTAATATCTCTCACTCTCCTTTTGGCTGGGCTTGGTTTTAATAGTTTGTTTTTAGGCAGATTTCCAGTGCCAAACAAGGAGGGAAACAGATAGAAATGGGGATATTGAGTTGGAGTAAAGGTGGACTGAAGGGGACCCTGAGGGCTACTTTTTCCTGCTTGTGTGCAGGGAGGGGTCCTGCAACAACACTTACTTTCTCAGTGCCTGGAATATCACAGGAATTGCCTCCTGATGGAGTTAAGGAAGGGTGGCTGTGGTATTTTTGCTATGTTTGCCCACCCTTCCCTTCCTTGTCCTCAGGTTTATGGGAGTCTCTGGGTTTTATTGAGATATGTAGTTTTTCTGGCTCCGGCAGCAGGATGAGGAGGACCCCTAGTCCTGATTCCTGGCCTGCCTTCCTTCTGCCCTACCATAGGGAAGGCAGAAACAAATAGAAGCTGAGTGAGGCAGTTCTGGGCACCCTGCCTAGGATAGGTATATTGCTCAACTGGAATGGAGATGCACTGGGACCTTCTGGATACCCCTGGCCTATTCTTTTCTATTCTTACCCTCTCTCTTTCATCTCTTCTCAGCTCTGTATCCCATCTGCTTTTCTTTCTTTCTTTCTTTCTTTTTTTTTTGTTTTTTGTTTCAAGAGAGCTCCAAAAGAATGGGAGTGTTCTAAGGAGATGAAGGTTTTCTCAGTGCCAAGTGCACTGAACTGCCAGTGTAGGCTGGGGCAGGGCCAGCTGGGGAGGGACAGTAGCTCCATGGCCAAGTGTCATGCCTTTCCCTTTACCACCTGCAGCTGGCAGGGATGGGTGCCAGCTGTCATTTTGGGGCCTTGCTGTGGGAAGTGATCTGAAGGTTGTGATGGGTCTCCTGTCTTTAGCTTGGTTTGGAGTGGGGGTAGCAAGCTGCTGTTCTTGCCCTGATGGCCTCTTGGGCTTTTGTCCACTGTGTTCCCCCAGGCCGGGCCAGTCTTCATGATAAAGCATCCCTGCGGTTGGAGCAGGTGCGCTCTGAGGATCAGGGCTGGTACGAATGCAAAGTGCTCATGCTGGACCAGCAGTATGACACCTTCCACAATGGCAGCTGGGTCCATCTCACCATCAACGGTGCGTATGGGCCCCCTTCCTGGAAAGAGCCCAAGAAGACCTCCTCTGAGGGCCCGCTCTAGAAGGAACCCCATCCCTTCCCCCAATTCTTGCTGCAGAGGAGCCTGGACAAACCTTGGCCCCATGAGATCTCCGCTCACTCCTCTGCTTGCCTCCATTGTCTTCCTGGAGCCTCTGGGGTCAGTGGAGGTGCATAGAAGCAGCAATTCCCTATGTGCAAGGTGGTCTCAGAGTTCCTAAGAGGGAGGTGGGAATCTGCTTCTGGAAACCAGGAGGGCTAATACTAGTGTCATTCCAGCTTTGGGATATTAGTGCTACCCCAGAGAGTGCATTCCCTCTCTCCAGTGGAGTTCCTGGAGTCTAGTATTAGTATTTTTAGGTTGATACTATGGTGTCTTGTTAAATATATTTATTTGGGTAACATGTATTGAGGGTCTATTATGCGCCTAGCCTTGCACCGATGATGGGTAAATAACAGTAAGGAAACCCAGACGCAGTCCCTGTTTGTACACAGTTTACCAGCTAATAAAATGTAAGAATCCTGGCAAGAGGAACAATTTTAATGGCTGTCAGTTATTTATAGCTCAGGTTAAATGGATCATGCTGCGTACAGATGTTTTTCAAATATCCATATGGGGGCAAGGGAGCTTGAGTGAACTCGCCCAGCTCCTTTGTATTGGCTGAGGCGGGGGGCCTGGGTCTATGATGGTGATGTCACTAGAGGCTGGGTCTTCAGGGTCTCCTCAGAGGGAGAATGTACCCTCTGTGTCTCTGAGAGTTCTTATCTGGGAGCAGATGCTCTGGAGGAGTCAGAAAGCTGGAACCATAGAGAAAGGATAGAGAAGAAGTGGTCTTCATAGTGGGAGGGAATGGCATATTTTATTTTTGTTTTGCTTTGTTGGTTTGGCCAGATGCTTATTCCTCTTTATTCAACTGATGACAAAAATGTATTCAGATCCACTGTGTTGTAGACACCACTCTGGTTATTGAGGCTTTGACAGCACATGTGCTTAGATATGCCACATACATTGTAGGTCTTTCTGGTTTGGATTCTGATACTATAGCTGCTGTGGTTGGAAAAGAGAAATTAGAGTTGTTCCTGGCTTGGAGGCTTCTCTCAGTATTGATCTGCCTTGAAGGATGACTCTGTCCTACCTAGTATGGTTGGATCAGACCCATGCTCTTTCTGAATCTGAGAACCTATCCAGGGTCTTGGAAGAACAAAGCCTGCTATCTATCTATCTATCTATCTATCTATCTATCTATCTATCTATCTATTTATCTATTTATTTATTTATTTTTTCCCAGGCTGGGGATCAAACCCAGTTTTGTGCATGCCAGACAAGCATTCTACCACTGAGTTATAGCCCCAGCCCTAGAACAGAGTATTTAATCAAGAGTGTTGGCCCAGAGGACAGGAAATGTTAAAGATGGTAGCCCTAGGTCAATGTTGGCTCAGGCATTAGATGTGGTTATTTCCTGCCAATCAGTCTGAAGAGGCTAATTGTAGACAGATTTTAAATCTTGGGTGCTTTGTCCTTACCACCCAGCAAGATTTTGAGTCACTTCATTTTGATGCCAGCTGTTGTGTGTGCAGTGAATGTAAACTCATCTTAATATTAACCCAGGCAAAATATAATTAGGAAGGTGAATCTGCTGCTCAAAGTTTCTCTGGTTGAATAGCAAGCCAAGAGTCCCCACATTATTTCCTTTCTCTCCAGGGCCCTCTCCTAAATGGTTGGAACCTGTCTAGAGCTGCTGCCTCCTTTTCTTTTGCATCATTCTGGATGGTGGTGTCCATTTCGGAAACCTGAGATACCAGGTGTTCAGTTGACACATGGTGGGAAAGCAGAATCTAGTTTGGAAATGTATGTTTTTTTATTGTATGTGTTTCTTAGTTTGTACCAGTGGGAGTTGATTCTTAGGAAGTTTCTAACTGCTCTGAGTAGAATAACCATGGACCATGACCCATAAAAGATTTAGTTTATTTCATGAACTCACTGTGTGTTAACTATGTTATTGTGGACAAGTTAAGTTACGTCGCTGAGCTTCAGTTGCCTCAGGGGGAAAATAACAACAACAAAAAAAAACGATGTCTATTTGCACAGTTGTTGTGAGGATTCAATGAAATGCTGTGTTAGAAAGTATCTTGCACAGTGTCTGGAACATTAATTACATATGGGTAGTTATGGATAAAATGCTGGCCACCCTCCTTCTCAAGAGATAAAGCCAGTTAAAAGTGTAGTTAGCAAGGATGTCAGTCTGGAAGATGCAGAGGACTTTGGTAGTCTAAAAATCCTCATGAATTCACTAATAGTTATCTATTCAAAACTTCTTTTTGAGTGTCCAGTTTATGGCAGGCTCCAGGTATATGGCAAGGGGCATGACCCAATTCTAGCTTTGAATATCCTTCAAACTCCAGAGACAGTCAAGTCCAGAGACGATTGCCATGTGGTTTTGGGAGCACATAGGAGGGACAGCTTCTTTGAAGAAATAGCCTCTGTTCAGAGGCTTGGCTGGTGAGAAGAGTCAGCCAGGAGCAGATGGGAGGTTGGGAAGGCAACTCCAGGAAGAAGGAGCAGCATGTCTGGAACCCTTGAGCGGGGAGAGTGGCTCTCCTCATTCAGGGAGTGCAGGCTGGTTGTTCATATGGAAGCACTGGGCAGGAACGCCAAGCATGGTACACCATCTGCTCCACGCTTGAGAACCGGGGCTTAATGATAGAACAGTTTGCTATAACCATGAAGCTTATCTGTGAAATGGGCAGAACAGAACAGATGCCTCCCAATAGGAGAGAAAGATCTCTCTCCTCTTATTCCCCCTTTCCCTTCTTAACTGAATTCTGAGGTTCCTCCCATCATAAATATTTCTATTATGGAACAGCCTAAGTGCTAGCATTCTATTTCTTCTAAACTAGAAGGTTTAATGTCAGGCATTTTTTTTTTTTTTTAATTTTTAACAGCATTACCTTGAGAAATTGAAAGGCCAGTGAAAAATTAGAATTACAAATTGTCTCATTCCCCTTCTGTGCTTTCTTTGAAGACCAGTTGGGTGGAAACAAACCCAGTTATTTCTTTATCATATATAAAATACCCCAAAAGCTCAAGCCAAGTCTTGCTTTAGGTTGGCAAATTACTTGGAGGAGAGGCCAGCCTGTTTCTAACCTGCACTATTAATTATAGGGCACTTGCAAAAAGAATTAAGCTTGGAAATGCAGCTGGCAAGCTAACACCTAATTCAGTAAATAATCGAGAGTCAAACCATTATTTTCCTGAAAACTCGAAATTGTTCAAAGTACTTTCCTGATTAGCACCTAAATAATAAAGTAATTATGTAATTAGTAATTAATTTGTCACTTCAGGACGTAGTTTAATTTATTATCTTTTCTTTTAAGCTTGAGACCAGAGGTAACAGAGGCTATGGCTGTATTAACTGTATTTCAGGGAGCAGGTTGGGTGAGGATGCCTGTGTTGGAGATGAGCACATGTTCCTGGGGCCTAGGGGCTAGGACTCCAGAATCCCTTTACAAGGACTTGAAATGATTTTTTGCCATTAGTCTATTATATTCTTAAATGCTGGCTGACAATTGATTTTCTCAAGAATATATATTATATATGCTTTTGATTGTGACGATGTGTGCTTCTTGTCTTTTTTTTTTGGGGGGGGTGCAGTTCCAGGGATTGAACTCTGGGGCATGAGACCATTGAGTCACACCCCCAGCCCTGTTTTGCATTTTATTTAGAGACAAGGTTTCACTTAATTGCTTAGTGCCTTGCTTATGCTGTGGCTGGCTCTGAACTCACCATCCTCCTGCCTCAGCCTCCTGAGCCTGTGGGATTATAGATGTGCACCACCATGCCCAGCAAGTATGCTTCTTAATACGTTCCATCATCCCTCTTCAAATGCCTCCTGTGTCTCTACATTGAGCCATGGGGCTTTGAAGATTATAGACCAAGGTGATCTTGCCATGGTCTTGCGCTTAAGAAGTTTTATGTATTTAAATTTATGTTGGAAGAAGCCTTCATTCATTTGTTCATTCACTTTACTTATTCTTTTATTCAACAAATATTTGCTAAGAACCTTGTTTCATCCAGAAATGGTGATAAAAGCTATACATTCAGTGGCACTGCAGAAAAGGTTTCTGTTTTCAGGGAGCAACGATTCCCCAAAATTGGGACTTATAAGAAACATGTAAGCAAATACATGTATATGAACTTGGGAATGTAGCTCAGTTGTAGAGTGCTTGCTTACCATGTATAAGGCCATGGATTCAACTGCAGTACCACAAAAAAAGAACAAAACACATACATATATATGGATGTTAGTTCTGATAAGTTCCTTAACAAAAATAGAACAGTGCAAGGGAGCAGGGAACTCTAGAAGTACTATCTGAAATGGACTGATTAGGTAAGGCAGAGGTAGCATTCAACAGACTTGTATGAACAGGAGGAGTGAGATATGGGTATAGAATTCTAGAGAGAACCTCAAATACATAAGACCCTGAAGTTGGAAGTTCTTGCCACATTGGGGGAAGACTAAGAAAGTGATGTGTCTAAAGCACAGGAGGGGATGACAGTTTTAGGAGAAGAGGTTGGGGCTGGTCAGGACCAAATTCTAAACTCTTGTGATGAGTTCTAAGTTCAGGGCTGTGTGGAGGAGAGGGAGCCCCTGAAAGCTCAGTAGCTTCAGTAGCTTTCAGGGAAATGATAAGTAGGGAAGTAATAGCAGAATAACTATTTAAAAAATATGTTTGTATTTCATAAGATCCTTTTCACAAACATGATCTCATTTATTCCTCACATCAATTCCAGAGGATGGAGGTTTTAGATAAAGCCCAGAGAGGTTGAGGAACCAGGGTTATGGCAAGTGGCAGGCTAGCAGTTGAATTTGGATCCTGAGCTTTGGGTGCCTTTAGAAGTGCTCAGAGTGGCTTGCTTTAGGGCTGGTATTCAGAAATTGGGGCCATCCTTATCTTGCAAAATTTTGGAAGATCCTAGAACCAATAGTCTAAGGGTTTAAGATTTACTGGATGACTTCTACAAGCAGCTCAGGTGATGGGACTGCGTCTCTTAAAAGTTGATTATACAAACAGGATGGAGTTTTAGTCACATTTCAATGCAGGGGAAAGATAACCTGGCATAATCGGAGGACAGTTATGGAGGGAGTAACCTCCAGAGGGAGCTGTTCACCTTTACCTATGGAAGCCAGATAGGGAGGCAGATAGATACTTTTTCTCTGCAGAATCTGGGAATTTAAGATTATTTTTAAATTCGCCTTGGCCTGGGATCTGTTTTAGGTCTGGATGGGGCTCAGATGGCAAATGTCCTAGAAGTATGAGGGCCTGGCTGAGCTGGAATGCAGGAAGTATAGTTTCTATGCATCATGATAATCCTGAGTGGAAACACTGAAAGATGGTAGAAAATTTTGGGAACATAGAGAGCTGTCTTGTGTATGTCATTTACCTAGTGCTGACTATGGCAGCTTCCCTGTACTAGATGCTCAATAATATTTTACTGGGAAGTATTTAAGTTTGGTAGGTAAATCATAGAATTTGGATCCCGAGCTTTGGATGCCTTTAGAGGTGCTCAGAGTGGCTTGCTTTAGGGCTGGTATTCAGAAACTAGGGCTATCCCTAGAGCCAGACTGAGATTGGATCCCACATCTCCCCTTCCCTATGATATCCCTGGGCAGGACTTTCCCCATCTCCACTTTTGTTGTTCCATCCTTGCATTCTGCCAAGTTGCAATGAGAGTTCTGTATGGGTGGGCTGGTTCCATTCCTCACCTTCGTGGTCTCCTTTGCAGCCCCTCCCACCTTTACAGAAACACCCCCCCAGTACATCGAGGCCAAGGAGGGTGGCAGTATTACCATGACCTGCACAGCTTTTGGGAACCCCAAGCCCATCGTCACCTGGCTCAAGGAGGGAACGCTCCTCGGTGCTAGTGGGAAGTACCAGGTGAGCGTGGCTATAGGCTGGGACTGCTGCAGTCACTCTTCTTCACCCTCCCTCCCTGCCCTTCTCTCCCCTCCAAGGCAGATGACTATTGACACTACTGTGCAGGTAGAAGGTGGAGGCAGAAAAGCCCACAGCCTGGCCTGGCTGCAGGCATCCCCTCTGGGTGTCTTGGAGGGAGACAGATAGATAAGGAGGCACCTACTCTCTGGATCCCCTGATGCATGTGTTCCTGGGACCTTCTCCAGTCCAGCTTCTTTGCCTGTATCTCTCAGCCTGAGGGCTACATTTGTGGGGCCCAGAGGTGGGTGTGAACTGTATTTGTTCTCCACCCCTAGGTGAGTGACGGCAGCCTGACGGTGACATCAGTCAGTCGTGAGGACAGAGGCGCCTATACCTGTCGAGCATACAGTATCCAGGGGGAGGCTATGCACACAACCCACCTGCTGGTACAAGGTAGATGGACTATTTCCTCTTTTCCTCCTGAGCTCTTGCAGGGGATGCCCAACCCTGCTGAGCTATAGTGGTATTTTCCTGGGCTATAGGTTTCATAGCTGGGGGTGGTGGAGGTACGGGCAGACCACAAAAGCTAGACAAAGGCTCCTGTATCACACATAGCTCACTGGTTGCATCTTTCATCCTGGCCTGCCTGGGAAAGAGCATCACACAGTGTAGCAGGGAAGCACTGTGCTAAGTGGATTTCTGGTTTCCCTCTGTCTGGATAGCATCTCTACCATGCCTGCACCTCCTCAAAAGAGGAGACCTCCCTTGGGTTATCTATCCATTAGTGATGGCATCAATAAATAAAGATAAAGATTTGATCCAAGCCCCAGACATTTAAACAACACCAAGAGCATTTGGCAGAGCTGGGTCTGTACAGTCAGCACCGAGAGATGCCATTCTGTCCAGCCTTGGTCCCAGGAGTGCCCCAGAAGGGTTGGATACTCACTGCCCAGAATGTGTGGAATCCTGTGGAGAGGTTTTTGCTTTTCCACCTACCACCTGCTGGAGGGATAGGGAGAGCTGGTGGCAGCTGTGTCTGGCTGAAAGAATGGCAACAATAGTATTTGCTCCTTCCCCTAAGGGTTGAGCAGTAACCAGGGCCAGAGGTCCCTCTATAGCTTGGCTGAAAGCTGCCCCTCTCAGGAAAGAGCTGGCTGCAGCTCTGCCTCTCTTTCCCACAGCAAGTACCAGGAACTTCTGGAATTTCACTCTCCCTTCAGCCCCCAGCCTCTTCTCTGCTGAGTTGCCATCTTTACCTTTGGCAACTAAGTAGTCACAAGGCTCTGTCTCCTCCAGAGACAAGATTATTCTTTGCTGCAGATTTTTATAAACCAGACTTCTTCCCTCCTGCATGTCTCCTATTCAAGCTTTGCAGGAAGGGTATGTGTGTGGGGTGGATAGATGGCTGGTCTGGGAACCATGAGGGTGGGGTAGAGGGAGGATGCTTGAGCCTGTATAGGCTAGAAGTCTTTGTGACAACTATTCAGGCTATACTGCCCATAGTGCTCCTCCCTGACCACCTCAGACCTTCCCGGGAGGCTTGGTGTCATTGGTCTGCCCCATCAGGAGGTGATATTTGTTTCCTGTTCTCTCTAGGGCCTCCTTTTATTGTTTCCCCTCCTGAGAACATCACCGTCAACATCTCCCAGGATGCTCTGCTCACCTGCAGGGCAGAGGCGTATCCCGGCAACCTCACCTACACCTGGTACTGGCAGGATGAGAACGTCTACTTCCAGAAGTGAGCAGCTCACAGGGGTTCCCCAGATCAGCAGGGGGAAGGGGCTCTAAACATGGACTTTGCAGGCTGCCGGTGGGCTCCAGAGACTTGCAGAAGGAGGGAAAGTGGAAAGTCTGGGTCTTGTGTCTCACATACTCAGGCCAGTCTTTGCATGAAAGGACCTTGAGAGAGGGACCCGAGAGTGACAGGAATAGTGGGTCTCCTTGCTGCACCGAGGGGAGGTGAAGGCAACCCTTACTTGAGTGTTTGCTATGAGATCCTCTTCTCCCACCTACCAATAGCACTCGCCTCCTTGTTTCCTTGCTGGCTTTGCAGCGACCTGAAGCTGAGGGTGCGCATCCTAATTGATGGGACGCTGATCATCTTCCGGGTGAAGCCAGAGGATGCTGGGAAGTACACCTGCGTTCCTAGCAACAGCCTGGGGCGCTCCCCCTCTGCCTCGGCTTACCTGACTGTGCAGTGTGAGTAGGGGTGAGGGAGAGCATTGGTGGGTGTTCCAAAAGATTCAAGCCACATTGCCCAGATTGGAGGCTGGAGGATAGCTAAGACTAAGCACGTTTCAGGGGAGTGTGGATGGAGGAAAGAACAAGCGAGGATAGGGCTAACTCTTGCTAGGCATCTTCTATGGGCCAGGCATCACTATGTGATCATTAATTCATTGCATCAGCCAAGCATAGGTCTGGTTCAAGGATAATCTGACCTTCTCTTTGAACAATTTCCTTTCAGAATAGTTGTTCTGGCATTGAATTCTATACCTTGAACCAGTCATGTTGGTTGATTTTTCTCTCAGGTTTTTAAGGGAGCACAGCTTAGAACCAGTACAGGGTTAGTTTTTCTGCCAGCCTCAATCTATCTTTCCACACTGTGGCCAAATCTGGGGTGAGGGGAAGAGGACCCTCTTCTGGAATAGGTTGGTCCATTTGCCATGCCTGGCTCCCTGTGTCTGCCTCCTTGCTCCTTTCCAGGGCTGCTAGAGGTCCCAAGTGAATGAGCCTCATTCTTGTGCCAGAACAATTGAGGGCCTCAGTGTGAGCACAACAATTCAGTTTGCTAATCTTTAATACCTGAGTGTCTTTGGTTGCTTTCCCACCCCCTGGCAAGCTGAGCATTGTGAGAAAGACAGAGAAAGAAGGATGAGTAATGAGGATTAATATCCTGCTTTTGATTTGTGGATAGCCCCATCACTCAGACAACAAATGCTCCACAATGTTGCTGTAGGTGACAGACACTTCATCATTGGAGGGCTGGTATGGGAGGATTGCATACACCCAAGGCACAGAGTGGCAGGAGTGAGAAGTGTAGCAGCCTAGGAGCTGAAGAGAAGTAGAGGAATAGTTGTGGCCTTAGAGGTAGAACTCCTCCAACTCTGCTGCACCAAGCTGGGTGTTTGGGACACAATTGCCCTTGAGTAGCCAAGGTAGAGGAGCCAAGATGGGCCTACTGAGCCTCATTGAACCCCTCACCTCAGACTTGTATCATCTTCTCACCTCTGTGGAATGACTGCATGGGATAGCAAAGGTCTCTGTTCTCCAGTTTTACTGACAGCAACTTGAAAGGACTTGTAGCATGGTACAGTATAAGTTCCAAGCTTTAAAGTGCTGTGACACCCAGAACATTGGGTGAAAGCCCGACTAGTAGGTGAAGAAATTGCTCCTAAGTGACTTGGGATGTGTCCAAGTTGTCCAGAAGCTGAAGGTCCTGAAAGAAGGAGCAGACTCCATCTCATAGATGTCTCCTATCTCTCTGGGCTGTATGCAGGTGTGCCACCTGAACAAGAAGGTGGCAATGACTATGGTGGACAGGGGTGTGAAAAGGGGTGGTCTTCAGAAGGATGATGACCCTAATTAAGATGCAGATTCCATGCTTGAAGATGTAGGCCAACTTTCTGCTGGGAGAAGTGTTTGGTTTCCCCATCTCTCCCCAGCGCCGGCACCACCACCCACTTCCACTTGTCCTTTTTTACCTCCTTCCTGCCTTCAAAGAGAATCCAGGGGGCTGAGATTTACAGGTGGGTGAGAGGATCTTTATTTCTGCTAAAGATCAGCGTTCAGAGTATTTCCCATTCATAAACCCTTTGAAAACCTTGAAGGAAAAAAAAAAAGACTCTACCATACAAAAGTAGGAAGCTATGTCTAAATATATAACTCGGCCTGGTATTTATGTAATGCTGTTCTCTGAAGAGCTCAAATGCTTAAAAGTTACAAGCTCATTCATCCTCACAGCCTCCCTAGTTCTGGATCCTTCTCCATAACCCTTGGAGGGACTGGGGAGAACTGAACGGAGGTGACTCAGCTGCATCACAGGGATCCAGGGCCATTATCCTCTGTCTCAGAGCCTTTCATCTGCTGTGGTCAGGGTTGATTCTACATTTCAACTGCAGAGGCCAATGACAAAACGGAGGCAGAGGGAGCTGAACAACCAGCAGAAGGAACAGAGAGGAGAAAAAGGACCCACTGTGATTACCCCATGATAGCCTCATGCCTAGAACTGAAGTTGCTATGTTGGCTCAGGATGTGCAGAGAGAGCCAACTGCTTGCTGCTCAAGAGAGACCTTGGGATAAAGAACTAGAGGGGAAAGACGTGGCCACTGTTGGCTTTGAGGTTCAGAATTTAGGGCAGAGGGAATTGGACATGGAGAATATCTGTGAATTGAGGAATTTAGGAGAACTGAAAACTGGGGCCCTTAAATGCCACCAAGCATTCTTTAAAAATGCTTAAAGTTCTTAAAAACACAGTAGATGTGGCAGATAAAAGTCTGCAGCCTGACATGGCTGGCTATGTGTGCCCCCTGGGCTAGAATTTCCAGAGAGCTAGGTTTATTGGCCCCCATTAACCATTGTGGCCCTGGCCCATAATGCTGTGTTGAGCACTGAGGAGCCATGTGGTAAGTATTTGCTGACTGCTGGATAGATATGATGGTGTGCCTTGCAAGCACAATGCCTTTTGTGTCCTGGTTCATCTCCTGCCTGGATTTCTCATCTGGCTTTTCTCATAGAGCTCTTCTCTCCACCCACACTACCCCTTTGCAGACCCAGCCCGTGTCCTCAACATGCCCCCTGTAATTTATGTGCCCGTGGGAATCCATGGCTATATCCGCTGCCCTGTGGATGCAGAGCCACCAGCCACCGTGGTGAAGTGGAACAAGGACGGCCGCCCCCTGCAGGTGGAGAAGGTGCGAGTGAGATGCTTGTTGGCATTCAGAATGAGAAGTGCCTTTCTGATCCCTTTGCTAGCTCTGGGTTCTGGTTCTCTGCCAGAGCTCCTCCATTTCTTAAAAAAAAAAAAAAAAAAAAAGTCCCACAGAGTTTTGGCTGTTTTCCCAGGGCATCTAGGTGGCGCCTGCCCTAGGCTGTAGCTGCTGTTCTGTCCTGTGCTCTGTCTGGAGTGGTGGGTCAGAGCATCCGCTCCCTGACCACTGTTCCCTGCTCTTGTCTGTCTCTGGCAGAACCTGGGTTGGACCTTGATGGAGGATGGCTCTATCCGAATTGAGGAGGCCACAGAGGAGGCTCTTGGCACTTACACCTGTGTGCCTTACAACACCTTGGGGACCATGGGCCAGTCTGCGCCTGCACGGCTTGTCCTGAAGGTGAGACTCTAGGGCTGCATGTGGCTTCATGAGCGGGGGCACCTGAAAGCCCAACTTCATGCACATGCCTTTGCTTCCCTCAGGATCCCCCGTATTTCACGGTGCTACCAGGTTGGGAGTATAGGCAGGAGGCTGGCCGGGAGCTGCTCATCCCCTGTGCAGCTGCAGGGGACCCCTTCCCTGTCATCACTTGGAGAAAGGTACCTGGGCTCTTGATCTCCTGGGCTGTGGTGTAGGTGGGAGAACCCAGTGACCAGATCTGCTCTGGACCCACTCTAATGGGTCAGATGTCAAGCGGGATGTTAAGGGGGATGTAGATCAGTGGGTGATCTGAGAAGGAACAGTGGGAGGGTGTGGTTCCCAAGGACCTGGGGATTGTCCTTCAACATCCTTATCCTCCTCAGACTCTTGAGCTATTGTCTGCTCCTTTCCTAACCTTGGTCTCTGCTCCCACGTTTTCCTTGTCCTCTTGTTTGGCCAAGGTAGGGAAGCCCAGCAGAAGCAAGCACAGTGCCCTGCCCAGCGGGAGTCTCCAGTTTCGTGCTCTGAGTAAGGAGGACCACGGGGAGTGGGAATGTGTTGCCACTAATGTGGTCACAAGCATCACTGCCAGCACCCACCTCACTGTCATTGGTATGTGAACAGTGGGCTGGGTGGGGTGGGTGGTAGGGCAGAGTTGGGTCTGGGCATCGGACACCAAAGGGGCATTCTTTTTTCCATGCTCTGCAGCTATCCTTCTTAGGTCAGTCCAACCTTGACCCCAGAGCCTTTGTCCTCTGCAGGCTCTGTAAATGAAGGTCCACATGAGTCTAGTTCTTGGGAAGGACAGGCAAATAAATGTACCTAGAAACCCACCTGATAAAAAATGCAGCTGTATGGTCAGCAAGGACACTGGAGACTTAGAATTTAAAGAGCTGTGGGAAAGCTGGTAGAACTGGAATGAGGGACAATTGGGCCATGTGGCATCTTGGACAGGGAAACAAGCTGAGGCCTGAGGGCTCAGCTGGCATAGGAGACTGGTGCAGGAGAAAGTGACTGGTATTCCTATTTGTGGGCATTTCTGGGTCTGATTGCCTAGGGTGTACATCCCCAACCTCAGCCTGTCTCCTTGTAGCCTGCCTGTTCCACTGGGTTCTGAGCCATAATCATAACCATGGCTAACTGTCTCTGAGCATTCACCTTCAGTGTTGTGCTCTGAACCAACTGATCTGCATACCTAGTCATTTACAACCTGGGAGGTGAGAGCTGATGGATCCCCAGGTTACATTAGAATGAGACTGGTGTGGACTTAGCACATTGACCAGTGTCATATAACAGGTGGGACCAGGATTCAGAGCTGAGTTGCTATATTACCTGCCATGTTGGGTTGTCTCACACCAGCGTTTGGGTTTGGATGCAAGGTGACTCTTTATAGGAAGTGACACTTTTTGGTTTGCTCAGGACCTCAGAGGAGCACAGGAGTTTGGCCTGGGTTGAAGAAGGTTCAGATTACCCTTAGTTCTATACCCTTAAAGCTCAGGTGGCCTCTTGCTAGTGAGACTAGACTGCATGGTGAGATAGGCTTCTCTTTCTGATATTGGTAGGGTCGGGGGGTGGGTGGCAGCACCTCAGAGACTCCACTTGTCTTCAACCATTTGAGGTATTGCATGTTGGTACTCTATACTTTGGTCTCTCTTGAGTTCCCTGCAGCAAGATTATGGGTGCCCAGCAAATGGGTTCAGCTCCTTTCAGTCTGAGAGGTCTCCCTTGGTCTCCAGGCACCAGCCCCCATGCCCCGGGCAGTGTCCGGGTCCAGGTCTCCATGACAACTGCCAACGTGTCCTGGGAACCAGGCTATGATGGAGGCTACGAGCAGACATTCTCAGTTTGGTACGGACCTCTGTGAGTCAGCCCCGCATGCTTTGCTCTCTGCTTCTCCCTTTCCTGTCCAACACAGGCAGTCCTGGGGTGGGTAGAGGGTCCAAGGAGATTTGGGGTCTGAGCCTGCTAGCCCTGTAGACAGCAAAGTGGGTCAGACAGTGACTAGGTTCTTATGGGCTCTGGGGATTCATAAGGGACTCAGCACTCCTGAGTTCCCACCCTCAAGATTAGAGAAGTCTGTTTGAGCCTTTGTGTAAATTGTCTGTGACCCTCTGTAGCTCTTTCCCAGCTTGAGATAAATCCCCAACAACTGTTGTGTCCTCCCTTTCTTTCTTTCTTTCATTTTTTTTTTTTTGTACTGGGGATTGAAGACAGGGGTGCTTAACCACTACGCCACATCCCCAGACTTTTTACTTTTTATTTTGAGATAGGGTCTTTCAAGTTGCTTAGGGCCTCGCTAAGTTGCTGAGGCTGGCCTTGAAATTGTGATGCTTCTGCTTCAGCCTCCTGAGTTGCTGAGCTGAGATTATAGGCATATGCCACCATACCTGGTGTATCTCATTGTTCTTTTTTTTTGAGGTTCCTCTGGAATCTAATTGTTAAGAACTTTATGAAATAGCTTGACCTGAAATGTAGGGTATACTTTTTATTCTTTCCCATGCCCAGTGGTTCTAGAAGCCAGTATGGAGAGCTTCTGTTCACGTTACTGACCCTGTCTCCAGCAGCTGCACTTTGCAGAATCCTATATCTATTTGTTTTCATGTCTCATTATTAATTCAGCCAGATGCAGTGATGTGAGATTTTTGTCCAAACTTTAGGATAAGTAAAGATTTAAAAAATGTGTGAACCAGAGTAAGCACAGGAGGTACAGGAATGGTGGAAGAGAAGTCCAGTGGAATTCCATCACTGTAGAGTTCTGTCTCTCCACACTCTTGTCCTGAGCTAAGAACTTCCGCCTGTGTCACTGTTCACGTCCTTGTGTAGGGAGGTCAGACCTCCTCCCTTCCTACTTTTCTCCTCTCCCACCTGGGCCTATGTTTCTAGCCAGGCTCAGTCTGAGTGTGTGGGGAGGGGGAAAAATCAGATGTCAGAGCAGAATTCAGGGGCACTCATGGAGGCCCCATGAGATGCTCCTCAACAGCACAGGAGCTTAAGAAGGGAGCCTGCTCCTTTTTCTGTCATAGTGGTTTAGGGTTGTTCCCAGGCCGAATATCTTGAGTATCTTGAGTTTTGGATAGGTGATGGGTATCTTGAGTTTTGGATAGGTGATGTGTTCCTGGAGGGGGGGAAGCTGCAACCAGAACATCATTCAAACTCATTATCTCTTTTCCTTCTATGGCAGGGCAAAGGGAGGGAACTCCTCATACCACCCAGGGGCTGCTACAAGATGCTGGCTAGGGGAAGGGGTGTTTGGCATGGCTAAGCCATCTTTGGGGGTGCCCGAGTGGAAGGGTTGGGCACACATCTGGGGGCTTCCTTGCTGCTTGTGGTGCTGTTCCACACGGCTGCTCATCTGCATTGCTTTATCATACTCTGCTCACTTGCTTTGGTGCCCTGGGTGGGGAAAAGGTGGGTGCCAAGGTTGGGGAGGTTTCTTTCCCTTCTTTCTTTTCTGATTGCCTCCAACTCTCCCTGTACTGACTCAGATGTTTGATGCTACTTCTTTTTGCTATGCTTTCTGCTGCCTCAGCTCACCCTCCTGGGCATACATGGTAGCGGCCCTTTAAACCTAGTGGGGAAGCCTGTGGGCATCAGCTAAGTTACAGTGCAGGTCTGCCAAAGCGGGCCAATCCCACAGGACAATGTCTCCTCTCTGTGGTAATGTGGTGGTACTGCACCTGCAGTAAGTGGCTTCATTGCCTCTTGGAAGTTTGGGGGCCCTTTAGAACAATAGAAAACACTCACCCCTACACACACACAGTGTGGCCTCCTAGATTGTGATTTCTAACCCTCAAGGCCTTAGGGATCCTGGTCCCACCATGAGAAAACCCCTGGTCATTTTTGTCATATTCTTTGGACATCCTCAGATGACCCAAATCTGATTGGACTGAATGAGCTTCCTGGGTTATTCTGGGTCTCACTTTGAGCTCTCCCTGGGAGGTGGGCAGCCATGGTCACCTGGGTTCCTTCCCTAGTCCTGCTATTGCACAGATGCTTATCTTTACTTCCCAGTACTCCCAAGGCAGAGCCTACTCTTAGGGGTGTGCAGGGTGGGATTGTCCCACAGTGCAGCTCGTAATCTTATAATGTCTTTAGCATGATTTATATGGGAGACTTCCTTTATGTAGTAGAGGTACCAGTGGTGGTAGGTGACCCTGCGTTATGAGGGTTGGCACAGCCAGAGCCAGACAGGTCACCCTACCTTGGCCATCCCCTCTTCCTGTCCTGGAACCTGGGAATGCTTGACCTCTCACTGCCTTATCCTTGAGGACCTTGCATGCATGCTCTTCTCTCCAGTGTGACCCACCCCACCCCTTGTCCCCCATTCTTTCTTTTTTCGGCCAGGATGAAGCGGGCACAGTTTGGGCCCCATGACTGGCTGTCCTTGTCAGTGCCACCGGGCCCTAACTGGTTGCTGGTGGACACCCTGGAGCCTGAGACTGCATACCAGTTCAGTGTCCTGGCCCAGAACAAGCTGGGAACCAGCGCCTTCAGTGAGGTGGTCACTGTGAACACTTTAGGTGAGGGTCCGGGACTGGTACGTCTGGGGCTGTTTTCTCACAGAGCTGGGATAAAGATGATGATGGCCACGGTCTAGAGCTATTGTTTAGGGCTTAGTACCTTACTAAGTACTCTCTACAGTGGTTCCCTTTGATGACTTGTCATGTTCTTCTGTTGGATTTGTCTGGTCCAATATCATAATATATTTAGCCAAATTCCTACTGCATCCTCAGATAGAAAGAAGACCTTTTCTATTTTGCCCTTCCTCATTAGGCCACATGTTTACATGTCCTGTGGATTACAGGGGAGACTGGGAATTTTTTTCCTATTGATGTGTTTGCCCTCCTCTTTTTTTTTTTTTTTTTGCTCTTGGTAGGTAGAGTCAGGGGCACAACTCAGGCCCCATTGTCATAATCCTTTCCTATACTTCCACAAGGATGAGCAGCAGGGGTAGGATGCTCACCCTCAGATCTAAAGTACCTCTGCTGGGCCTCATTTTGTGCCCCTGGGCTAAGAATGGAATTGAGAGAGTGAACAGTGTGCCACAAGAAGATTTTCCTAGTTTCTAGGAAGGGAACAAAAGATACAGTCATATGTCACTTATTAGCAGGGGTGCAATCTGAGGATCCCTGTGAAATGTGCTATTAAGCAGTACTATCCTTGTGTGAACACTATAAAGTGTACTTAAGCAAACCTGAATGGTACAGCCCAAGAGAAAATGATGCGATCAAGACACACTGTAAACATGAGATATATGAAGCTGTGATGATAAAAAGTATAGTATTGTAAATACATAAACCAAGTGACATTGTTGCTTATTTTTAAGTATTCTGTACTGTATGCAATTGTATGTGCCACAGTTTTACATGACTGGCAGCACAAAAGTTTTGTTTGCACAGCATCATCACACATTTGAATAAAGCATTATTCTATGATGTTACGTTGGCTACTATGTCATTCACCAATGGGAATTTTTTAGCTCCATTATAGTCTTATGGGATCAGTATCATATATGGGTCCTTATTGACCAAAATGTTATACGATGTATGATTGTATTTAAATTACACTTAATTCTTCCTTCTTCCCTATAGTTCCCATTTTTTCCCTTTTAAGTACGTATCTGATTCCTTCATGTATGTTCTTTAGACCCACTTTGATGGTAGTCACTGTCCCTGACTTCCCTTCCCTTGGACCAGGAGGGCTACTCTAGGTGACACCCTCTTCCCCTCTAAAATGGTACATTGGTTCCTGGTCGACTCTTGCTCCCAGCGTGGGTGGGGGAGGACATGGCCACCTCAGTATTCCTGATGCCATCTTCCTTTTCACTCTGCTGCAGCATTCCCTATTACAACTCCAGAACCCCTGGTGCTGGTTACCCCACCAAGGTGCCTCACAGCCAATCGGACCCAGCAGGGTGTGCTCTTGTCCTGGCTCCCACCTGCCAATCACAGCTTCCCTATTGATCGCTATATCATGGAATTCCGAGTCGGGGAGCGCTGGGAGATGCTAGATGATGCCATTCCAGGCACTGATGGAGATTTCTTTGCCAAGGATCTATCACAGGTGGGGCTTGCTTTTCCTTGCCTCTTCTTCCCAGATTCTGGAAGTGTCACAACTCTTTCTAGAGCCACCAGAAACTTGGAGTAACTCAGATCAGGGGACTGAGACTAAGCCCTACACTGTTCCTCCCTATAACATTCCTGGATTCTCCTAGATCTGCTATCATGGTTTGGGTTCCTTGGGTCATGGCTGCTGAGGTCCCTCAGGTTCAGGGCCTGCTTGGTGGCAGGGGGTACTTGTGCTGCATAGATGGCTTTTCTTAAGGACAAACAACAGCTAGGGCAGGGTGAGAGGCCAATGAATGTCTTCAGGACACTGTCCTTAGCTTTTGCTGAGGGATGGGCAGAGGAGGTCCCAGAAGGATTATCCCTTAGGTTAGTCCAACAAAGAATGTGTCTTTTAACAATTTAGAGCCACTGGAGGAAAATACTTTTTTTTTTTTTTTTAAGCAATCTCTCCTTAATCATGCATGTGTCTCTATTGGGAGAGGAAACAGCTCAGATGCAATCTCATGTTATCATTCTGTTTTTTTCCCCTGGACTCTCATTTAGTGGTATGCTGAGATGGGCTCACAGTGACTTTTGAGAGCCCATTGCAAATATATCTGTGCAAGTCTTTCAGTGACCTCACGTCCATAGCTTTATATCAGCCATAGTGGGAATATTTATACCATAGCAACTGGCCAATGCTAGCAATCACCATTAAATACTCACCAGGGACCCCAGTACTCAGGTGCTCTTTCTGTGGAAGTCATTTTCAGGATCTGTAGTGATGGAAGAAGTGTTGTCTCAGGTTCTTCCACTGACTAGGTGTTGTCCCTGGTGCTGTAGGACACCTGGTATGAGTTCCGGGTTCTGGCTGTCATGCAGGATCTGATCAGTGAGCCCAGCAACATCGCCGGAGTCTCCAGCACAGGTACTTTGGGTGTGGAGGTACTGCTATAGTAATAGGGACATAAAACCCAGAACTGCATGAAAGTCCTTTTGTGAAACAGGACAGATTGGGCTGGAAACGAAGATATTTAGTTGAAACTGCATGAGTCAAAGCTTTTCTGAAACCCTTCAGATCCATGTTTCCATGATGCATGGCATTTTATCCTATTAAAAAGCTGGTTTTCTGACAGTTCTTTGGGATAACCATAGAAGGAAATTCAACAAATCTCATTATAGTTGTCACAAAGAACTTGATTTAAATACTGTTTTGCTATACATTTTCTGTTTTCTCTAGTGCTGTACTGTGTTCTGGGGGTGGGACATGCATTGGAGGGAAGAAGCAGAGGGTCAACAAGTGTTTATTGGATGCCTATTATAGGCTTCTTTATAATTATATGGGTTTTATTTGGAAAATTGTTGTTTGGTGTTGTTTTCTTGCCTTCCTTCCTCTCCCTAGATTTTTTTCAGGCTAAATAAAGCCAACTCCCTAGCATTTTCTCCATTTATCTCTCTTTCTCTTGGCACCAGTCCCATTTCTACACGTCTTCTCTCCAGCTCAAGTTCCTGAAACAGAGCAAAGTCCCCTCCCCCAGGGAAGCAGTACCCTTGGTATGGAAGAGGCTCTTGCATAGCAAGCAAACCATGGCCCCATTTCCTTGGGTTCTACATGCACAGAGGCCTCTGGGACCAGAGACAAGGATCTTGGCCAAAAGCTCACTCACTGAGCCTCCTGAAGTTACAGAAGCACTGATGAGGCCAGATTGAGGAAGGGCAGAACTGGAGCTTCAAGGGAGCTTGGGGGAGGGGAAGAATTGGAGTGTGATTTCTGTCATATATATTAGGCACCCTAGGGTTTTGTTGTAAAATAGAGTTACCTCCTATAGGCAGTAGAACTTTACTTACTTCTCTCTTGGCTTCTCTCCAGGGAAGACTCAGAGAGATGCAGGAACAAGGAAGCTTACAGCCAAAGCCAAAGTTGAAGGCTTGAGCGTTTCGTGGGCTCATTTCTATAAACTCTTCTGTATTCGGTAGCTTTCTGCTTGGCCTCCGAAAGGAAACATGCCTAGTCAGATGATTCCACACAGGCAATGAGGATGTAGCAATCTCAGCATTCCCTGTATTTAAGTCCCCCATTTGCAAAGGCTGTGGCATTCAATTTCCACTTAGCCCATCAGCATAATTTGGATTATTTTTATCCATTATTATTATTGACATAGCAAGGACTTGTGGCCAAATATATCACTATATATCGAATTTCCCTTTGATGAACCTGAAGAGTGGCACTTACTGATACACTTGTCTTTTGGGTCAAATATAATAGATTGGGGTCCAGTCATGGCTCTGGCACTAACTAGCTCTGGGAATTTGAGTCCATAGTAAGGCTTAGATCTTTACATATAAAATGAGAGAACTGAACCCATCTTTACCTTCCCTGCCAGCTCTAGCATCTTCTGTAACTTAGGTGACCTGGGCATGCTAATCCTTGCTATAGGAAGCTGCATGCCTGTCTGTAATGAGTTGAAAATAGATGGGTCTGAATACTATTGCAACAAGCCCTCTCCTGCTCTAGAATTTTACTGTCAAAGTGCTCTCACCCCTGGGCTCTCATTTGGCAGACATGGCATGGGAAAAAGCAGAAATTCCTGGACTGGAGGTCAAAATAACTAGGCTGTGATTAGGATACTGATGTAAGATGAACTGGTCACTCAAAGTGAATCACAGTGTTTACACTTAGGGAGTGAAAGCAGTTTGTGTGCTCTGTCTCGCTCATGGGGTTAATAGGAGAAGATCTAATAACATGCACAGAAATGTTTTGCACCAATTAAAGCACTAGACAAATATAGATGATCATTGACATGGATGTTGTTTCTTTATGAGCTATGTAGAGGTTACTCGACTTTTATAGAACCCTCCCCCCCCCTTTTTTTTTTATAAAACCCCTCTTTTTTCCTCTTCACATAACCACACCTCCTTAGTGTTGGAGTTGAGCTTCAAGGCTGAGCCCCAACATTGCCTATTATACAGCAATAGGGGAAGAAACTTGGAGATCGAGTGTCTGGGTGAGGGGTTGTTGTGGAGAGGGATGGGACCTATAGTGCTTCCTGGTCTCCCTTGCAGACATTTTCCCACAGCCAGACCTGACTGATGATGGGCTGGCCCGGCCTGTATTGGCTGGAATTGTTGCTACCATTTGCTTCTTGGCAGCTGCCATCTTGTTCAGCACTCTGGCTGCTTGCTTTGTCAACAAGCAGCGCAAGCGCAAGCTCAAGCGAAAAAAAGGTAGGTGTCTGTCTCCTCCCCTTCTCTATGTGGCCCTGTTTCAAATGCTCCCCATCAGTAAAGATGGACCATTTGTAGCATCCTCCTTCACCCCAGTCTCTCCTCTTCCTTGGAATTTGGGAAACTGGTATCTGCTCATAGAGCTGCCAGTGTGGGACTTGATTTGAAAGAGAGGAGGGAAGCAGGTTACAGGGAAGACTGAAGGGAAGGTAGGGCCTGGTGGTGGGCATAGGCCTCTGAGCTGAACTTGAAGATGCAGTACAAACACAGTGCCTTCCCTTGTGTGGATCTGCATTGATACCAGGGTGTGGGATGCTGTATTTTTGTGAATTCAGGCCTCAGAGGGCTTTCTCCATTCATTTGCCCCTCTAGACCCTCCGCTCTCCATCACTCACTGCAGGAAGAGTCTTGAGTCTCCGTAAGTGTCTCTGGCTGTTGTTGGTATGTGGGGAGGATGGGAAGCCTAGATGTAGGTGGACAGTTTGCCTTGCTTTGCCCCATTTCTGTGTTTCTTAGCTGTTGACTGATCTGCATGTTACTTTTAAGTTGTCCATAGAGATGAAGGGAGTGGTAGTGTAGATAATCCAAATCAACAGGTTATTTATTTCTCTTTAGCCTTGTGATGTACTTCTATAATTTTTTATCCCCTAACAGATTAGCCTAAATGATGTGTTATACTTAAGTTGGTATTAAAATGAGGTTGAATTTCTTGAACAACCTGGGAATGCAGTTGGAGGTGTACTTAGACAGAGTGTGCCAAATATAGGGGTAGGCCAGAATAAAAGTAGCAATGTGGGTGTTCATTCCAAAAACGGACAATACATGTCTAGACAATTGAGAATTGGCCAGAGTATTTCTCACCAAAATGCTCTGTTTCTTCAGTGTTGCCTTCCTGGGTGGTAGTGTGTTTTATTAAGACAATGAAAAGAAGCTGCAGGCTGGTGTAAGCACCCTTACCCTGCAGGCTGGTGTAAGCACCCTAACCCTGCTCTTACTCTCCCTGCAGCTTGTCCTCTGGCAAGGTGAGTCCGGAGAGCATCCGCACACTTCGTGCTCCATCTGAGTCCTCCGATGACCAGGGCCAGCCCGCAGCCAAGAGGATGCTGAGTCCCACACGGGAGAAGGAGCTGTCCTTGTACAAAAAGACCAAGAGGGCCATCAGCAGCAAGAAGTACAGTGTGGCCAAGGCTGAGGCAGAGGCTGAGGCCACGACCCCCATCGAGCTGATCAGCAGAGGCCCTGATGGCCGCTTTGTAATGGATCCCTCTGAGATAGAGCCTTCCATGAAAAGCAGACGCATTGAGGGCTTCCCCTTTGCAGAAGAGACAGACATGTACCCTGAGTTCCGTCAGTCTGACGAGGAGAATGAGGACCCGCTGGTGCCCACATCTGTGGCTGCCCTGAAGTCCCAGCTGACTCCCTTGTCTTCCAGCCAGGAGTCCTACCTGCCACCACCAGCATATAGCCCTCGGTTCCAGCCCCGTGGGCTGGAGGGCCCCAGTGGCCTGGGAGGTCGACTCCAGGCCACCGGCCAAACCAGGCCCCCTGCTCCCCGGCCCTTCCACCATGGCCAGTATTATGGGTATCTGAGCAGCAGCAGCCCTGGGGAGGTGGAACCACCACCCTTCTACATGCCAGAAGTGGGCAGCCCCCTGAGCTCAGTCATGTCGTCCCCACCCCTGCACACAGAGGGGCCATTTGGTCACCCAACCATCCCTGAGGAAAATGGAGAGAATGCTTCTAACAGCACGCTGCCCTTGACTCAAACCCCTACGGGAGGGCGCTCCCCTGAGCCCTGGGGCCGGCCAGAATTCCCCTTTGGGGGGCTGGATACTCCAGCCATGATGTTCCCCCACCAGCTGCACCCCTGTGATGTGGCCGAGAGTCTGCAGCCCAAGGCCTGCCTGCCCCGAGGACTGCCCCCCTCCTCCCTTCAGGTGCCCGCGGCCTACCCAGGCATCCTGTCTCTGGAGGCACCCAAGGGTTGGGCAGGCAAGTCACCAGGCAGGGGCCCTGTCCCAGTGCCGCCCGCCACCAAGTGGCAGGACAGACCTATGCAACCTCTGGTGAGCCAAGGGCAGCTAAGACATACCAGCCAAGGTATGGGCATACCCGTGTTGCCTTACCCCGAGCCAGCTGAGCCCGGGGGGCATGGCAGCCCCAGCACATTTGGCCTGGACACCCGGTGGTATGAGCCCCGGCCTCGGCCCAGCCCCCGGCAGGCCCGGCGCACCGAGCCCAGTTTACATCAAGTGGTGCTACAGCCTTCCCGGCTCTCACCTCTGACCCAAAGTCCCCTCAGCTCCCGCACTGGCTCTCCAGAGCTCGCCGCCCGTGCCCGGCCTCGCCCGGGCCTCCTACAGCAGGCAGAGATGTCGGAGATCACCCTGCAGCCTCCAGCTGCAGTCAGCTTCTCTCGAAAGTCCACGCCATCCACGGGCTCCCCTTCCCAGAGCAGTCGCAGTGGGAGCCCCAGCTACCGGCCCGCCATGGGCTTCACCACTCTGGCCACAGGCTACCCCTCCCCACCGCCGGGCCCTGCCCCTGCGGCACCTGGGGACAACTTGGATGTGTTTGGACAGACACCTTCCCCTCGGAGGATGGGGGAGGAGTTGCTCCGACCAGAGCCCCCAACAACATTACCTACTTCAGGGTGAGTATGAGCTGCTGTCTCTTACCCACCTCACCTGGTCAACTTCCTCCCCACATGCCTCACCTTGCCCTCCACCTTTCCATCGCCCCAATGACAGGGCTTGTGTGGACATGCTGCAGCATCCCTTTGGTAGGAGTTCTGACCGCGGCATTGGCAGGGTGTGGTCACTGGGGTGGGGTGGGATGGGCTTACCTGCCCAGGTATTCTACCAGGAGCTTAAGGGATCTTCTCCACCCAGCCCAGAGCTCTCAGGAGGCCCACAGCATACTGGGGAGTTTGGGGCAGGGGAGGGGAACATGGTGTAGGAGTGATTTCTGTGAGTAATGCCCTTGAAGTCGAGGCCTTCCATGTCCCTATGATCTTGACATTGGGTTGTGGTTCCCTGGAGTTGCCCAGAGACCTCCTGTATAGCCTCCTTCTCTTCCCTCGCCCCTCCTTCTTGCTAAGCAGGACTCCAGGGCCTGACTTCCTAGGACTACCAGGTCAAGGGATGCTTGTTCCCAAACTCCTGCCCATTAGTAGCCCTAGTGAGCGCCGGACTCCAGGCCCTGTCCACAGCCTCTACAGGAAGGGTGCATCCTGGAGGCTGGGAGAAAAACCTTAGGCCTTGTGTGCTGGGAGCCACATCCCCCATCCCCACCTGTGTGCCTCACAGGAAACTGCAGAGAGACAGACAGACAGACAAGCTCCCGCGATCAGCCCGCCTGAGAGAGCACACTCTAAACTGTAGCAGCTGGTATTCCAGGTACCAGAGTCAGCCTGGACATCTGTCCATACCTCTTCTTCTCTGTCTTTCTACCCTACCTTCCTCCTCCTCCTTCTCCTCACCCTTCCTTCCTTCTCTAGTCAGTCTCTGTCCACCTTTCTTTCGTTTCCATTGCCTTTGGGTTGACCCGAGTTGCTCAGAAGAGCCTGCCATGACTCTGTAGTACCCCTTGATCTCCCCCATCCCCTTCCCTTTCTCCTGCCTCTTTCCCTCTCTCTCTCTCTTTCTTTCCCTCTGGTTCCGTCCTTTGGTCTTTCTTCTTGATGTAGCCGCCTGTGGAGGGGAGCAGAGTTCCAGAGGAGGCTGGCCTGGTGGTAGGGGCTGGTAGGTGGCTGGGGAAGAGGAGCCCGGCAACCTTCCCCTGCCCCCATTCCCTCCCACCCTCTCTGGTACCTGGAAGTGCAAGCCCACCTCCCACCCTCAGTACCACTGCGGGGGCTCCTGGTGGGTGGGTGGAGAAGGGTGGAGAAGGTAGGGAGGTGGAGGAGAGCTCTGGCTAGGGCGTCCCGCCTCTGTCTGCAGGAGATGCTGTCGTCGCCCTGTCTGCTTTGTGCAGCCCGCTCACCTGCTTTGTTCCATCGTGCGTCTGGTTCTCCGTCTCTCTCCTCTCCTCCCTCACCCCATTCTCTGGCCTCGCCTGTGGGTCTCTGCTAGCTGTGCTTCCCCCTCCTCCCCTCTGGGTGTGCGTGGGTGGTTCCCCCTGGCCGGTGTTGGTAACTGCTTTGTTTCTGATTGATCTCAGCTATCTGGGCAGTGTTGTCGAGACAAGCCTCTCCTCAGCTCAATAGGTAAGGGAGCTCCTCGGGGGCGGGCGGGGGTGGGCAGGTGGACGGGGCTTTGGCAGGGCCATCGCTTCCTTGACAGGGGATCCAAACCACATTCCCTCACTGCCCATGGGGGGCAGCTGCCGCTCCTGGATTCCCATGGCTTCTGGGTTCCCCACATTGTGCTTCTCAGGCTGCTCCAGCTGTACAATGAGCTCTTCCCAGACACCCCTAGCTGCAGCTTGTAACCTCCCAGCCCATGTCTAGTCCCTCCCAGAGCCCCTGCAGTTGCTCCCTCTCGGACTCCCATCATCCTGCTGCCAACACATCTAGAACCTCTTCCCCAGCAGCCCGGGACCCTGCATGTACCCAAGGGACCCAGGATGCCCAAGATCTGCTTTGCATCTCCACCCTTGGGGACCTATCTGCACCCACATTAATATTTAGGACCTTCCCCTTACCCTCAAACCTCTGCCCTGTTTTCCCAGCAGCCTTAGGCTTAGGGTCCCTTACTTCAGTAGCCAGCCTACAAAGGCTTGAATCTTCCCTGGGGTTGCTGGTCCCTCACCCACTTCTTAGAATCATAATATTAGGTTATCTCAAGGAGCTCAAGTGTCCCACCCCCTCAACATTTGGGTCTTCCTCAGAGTCAGGTGGCTTCTCAGCATGTTAGAGCAAGAGTGGTAAAATGTTACCCCTTGCCCCATACTCCTTGGATCTGCAGCCTGTTCTTGGTTGTTTTAAGACTGAAGTGTGACCTCACCCTTGGTCCAAATTGCTTTTCAAGGTCCCTGTAATTGCTATGCAGACCTCCAAGAGAAAGGGCCTTGGCAGGAGCTCCCTCCTCTAGGCATAAGGAAGTTGAGTTAGCAAGAGGGAAGAACAAGGGATCAGCACTGCAGGAGCCTGCCCTGCATGGGTGACTCCTTTCTCTACCATCCTTCTGGGTGGAGGCCAAAAGAATATGGCCATTGTAGGGGGCCATTGAGTCTCTTCAACAGGCCCAGGACACTCCAGGCTCTCTCTCTCATGGTTACCTAAAAAGAAGCTTATTTTGGTCATGGATGACACTGACCATGCTTCTGAGAGCATGGCACTGCACTGAGCTCCCGCATGGGAGGGAGAGAGTCTTTTATCTAAGTGCTTTTGGCTTCTCTAGATGAGAAGTAGTTACCATTTCCCACCTTGCAATGCCAAGAGAGGCTGATTTTTCTAATTCAGGACTCTAAGTCACTTTAGGTCTTAAGAATGGCCTAACATAAAGAGGACTGCCTTAACATAGTTTTTGATCACCTGCAGCTAAACACTTGTCAGTAGCCAAGAGGCCCTGGAATTGTGTATGAGGTTACTAGTGTCATGCTGCAGTCCCAAGGACTGGAGGGAGGATGAGGACCAGCAGGCAACATTAATAAGCTCACCTGTTCCAGGATCCTCCCATGGCTTCCTAGTTGAATACTATAGAGGAGTGAGAGGGACTGGCCAAATTGCACCTTCCCACTCTTCCTTGTTGTCCCCCAGTTATGACTCTGTTGCCCTTGGGGTAGGTAGCTCTAGACTAGCTTTCACTCCAACTCCTGAAAAGTGCCTGGACTCCATTCTCATTGGTTACTTCTACTCCCCACTCCCTATCCTGTTGAACCTCTTTTTCCCTAGTGACCCCACCATGCCAGATCTGAGAGAACCCAGCTATCCTATCACTGTTGTGGCAAACCCAGAAACCAGGGGCAGCAATGAGGGACTTGTTTCTCTCTCGGGGTGGCCAGCATCTCCTGTCTAGGAGAACGAAATCCTCCCACATCCTCCGAGTTAGAACTTCATGGTGCTGGGCAACAGGAGCCTCTGCTCGCTCTCTTGCTTGCTGAGAGCCTCCCTGGGGCGCAGTTGCTGCTGGGGCCATGGGGAGATGACAGGCTCCTCTGTAGATGCTGTCTTCATGCTGCGCCTTTGCATGTTTTCCCCCTGGGTCTTGCTTGGAGAAGTTGTGACGCCTCTTGTCTACGTTCGTTCTTGCTGTTTCTTTCCCCTTCAATTTCTCTCCTATTCTTTCTTCCCATGCCTGTTGTTGTCTCCCCCATCTCTCCTCTTTTCTTTCTCCCCCTTTTCTCCTCTTCCCAACTCCCATCTCAACATGTGGAGTTGTATTGTGTGGACCTGTCCTTGTGTGGATTGCTAGGGGCAGAGCTGTTCGCTCAGTTCACGTCTGATGCTGGTAGCACCCCTGTGCTCACATCTTCATCTAACTCCCTTCCACCTTACTACCTGTTGTGACCTCAGTGGTACAGGGGATTTGGAAGCAAGGGTGCATCTGCCTTTAATAGGTGAACATAGGAGGGAACCCCCATTTGCATACAAACCTCTCCTGAGTTTTGAGGTTCTGAGGCAGAGACTTGGTCTGTACCCTGCCTTTACTGAGAGGGACTATCTTGGGGTCAGGCTGGGTTGGTGCTGACCTGTACACTCCTGGCTGTCTGTGAGGCACTTGGAGAATGGACTCACCTTTTCTCTGGTCATAGTGTGTACATGAGTAGATTTCCTCTGCCTCCCACCCACAGTATCTCACTGAGCAAGTAGAGTTTGTGTTCAGGCAGTGAAGAAGAGGAGGAAACTGCTCTTTAAACCACTGTTTCTGCCTGTTGACTGGGGGGTAACTGGGAACTGTGTTGTAATGGTTAGCTCATAGGGCATCCAGGGAAGGAAGTGTCCAGATGATTCTGATTTCTTTATTTCCCCTGAAGTTTGTCTATTTTGAACCTGACTGCCTTGTTCCTTCGCTATCTTACTTAAGTAAAGAACCAAGCAGCTAAGACCTCTTGTGTTAAATAAGCATGATTGGGGTTTTGTGTGCATCGTGAGAGAGAGAGAGAGAGAGAGAGAGAAAGGGAGAGGGAGAGGGAGAGGGAGAGGGAAAGAAGGAGAAGGAGGAGGGGAGTATTAAAATAGAATCTGGGCTGGGGCTGTGGCTCAGCGGTAGAGCGCTCACCTGCCATGTGCGAGGCCTCAGCACCACATATCAATAAAAAATAAAGGTATTGTGTCAGCTACAACTAAAAAGTATTAAAAAAAATTAGAATCCTAGCAATTTTTGGTAGTTCTGAACTTCAATAAACACTAAAATGCCATTGGGTCAGTAATTGAAATATATGGAAAAAGGGGAGACCCACTAAACTCCAAAGGCTTAAGCTCATTTTTCAGTGATATCCTTTACTTCCTGGAAGGAGAACTTCAGAGTTTGCAGCATTCTTATATGTTAGAGGATTTTGGCTGATTTCGGGGAAAATAGGGACCATAACTTCTTGGAGAGCCTGAGGTTAGGTTCTGTTGCAACAGGGTCTTTTATAGGTCAAGCACAGGTTTGCTTGATAGCTTTATTCTGGGGTTAGGAATGGAGTTGCCTAATCCCAGCTTCCTGTCCAAGATATCAGCACCAGAGGCTCCAAACCCAGAAAGGTATCAGTTGAGCTTGATATTAACAGGAGAAGATAATCACCCTTGCTAAAAAAGGGAGGCATTTTGATTTCAGAGGACTTCATGCTGTTGGTAAAGTCTGTTAGAACACATTTCATGTGTCTTTTCTGTAAAATTTACCATAAATAGATCCATTTTTCCTGTCCCCCTTCCTTCCCACCTGTCCTGCTAGACACTTATTTTTTCCTCTGGCATTAGGCTAGTGTCCTGAGGTACCCAGGAGACTTTTGTCAGATTGCACTGAGTCAGGAGCTACATCAGGTGGGGAGCAAGTATCCTGAAAGCACTGGAGTCTGGCTGTTTCTCAAGGGGATATTTCTTTCTCCTTCTCACTGAATCATTACTGTTTGGGAATTTTTGCCTTGAAGACATAACTTCAGCCAGTTTTTCCCCATCTCCAGTCTGTCTTACCAAGAGCACATTGGTGACTAGCAACTAGTATATTACAGGGAAGAGTTACTTCTCAGGTGTGGTATGGAAGCAGTGTTTTCGTTTTGTTGAAGCTTCTGTTTCTATTTTTATTGGGGAAATAATTTGAAGAGTAATTTAGTCTGATACTAATGAATCTTGACTCTGTTTCATGATACTGGATTATCGGATAAATTGCTCGATCTCTCTAAACTTCAGTTTCTCCATCTGAAATGTGAAGTTATCCCTGAGGGTAAAGATTAAAGACAATTATTGTAGACAGTATAGAACAGTGCCTGGCATGGTAAGTGGTAAACAGATGCAGTGTGGTAAAAATGATGATAATAATAATATATTGATTGTAATAACATCCCTCCTTCAAGCCTTCACCTGGCTTGAAGAATCCATAGGAATTTTCAGGGTGCCCTATACCAACTTCTCACCAACAGTCTGTATTCTGACCTCACTGAGAGCGACTAGCTTGTGGTCGGGCTGGGTTGGTGCTGACGGACACTCCTACCAATCTGCTGGGCGCATGGAGAATGGATGCACTCACTTTTTCCCTGGTCTGAGTGTGTACGTGAGGGATTTCCTCTGTCTCCCATCTACAGTATCTCAGCAGACAAGTTAAGTTTGTATTCAGATAATGAATAGAGGAGGAAACTGCTTTTTATTTTGAGAAAGGGTTTCTCTAAATGCCCCAGACTGGCTTTGAACTTATGATCCTCCTGTCTCAGCCTCCAGAGTAGTTGGGACTATAGGTGGATACCACCATGTGTGCCAGAAACTGCTCTTTAAACCACTGCTTCTGCCCATTGACTGGGGGGGTAACCCAGAACTGTGTCTAACTGTAGCTTACCCAGGATTATATTGGAGAACACTATTCTTGCCTATTGTGTGCCTCCTCAGACTGTATATTCCTCAGCTTTATGGTCTTTCTGAAAAAACTGCCCAAGACCAGGAGATGGAGATAACTGAACAGATGGATTCACATCTTTGATTTTCCTTTTAGGCAGCATGAAGAAGCCTTGGTCAAGGCTGATAAGGGGATGAGGACAGTCTCCCAGCCTCGGGAAGGCAGGTTCCCTCCTGCCCTAGCCATCCAAATTCCCTTCCAGCTGTTACTATGGTAGAAAGTCTCTCTGGGTAGACTCTGGGACTTGTAGAAAAGAAAGGAGTGGGGTATTAATCTATGGGGACTTGGGAACAAGACCCGACTTCTGATGTGAGTAAGACTACTACTATTTCATGTGACACCTGTGGGCTGCTTAGCACTACTGTCAGGAAGCTGTGGAGAGTCAAGAAAAAAGTTGTCTCTTGACTTGAACTTTGAGGGGGCTTCTTGATACTTTATGTGCCCAAAGACTTCAGAATGGTGACATCCATCAAAGAAGATGGAGGCCACTTCATTGCCAATTACTGCGGCAGAGACCAGAGGCTTATCGACAATGAATCTGTAAGTTTCCTCTTCCCTGGTGCTCATAGAGACATCTGATGTTGGGGAGATGGGTTTACGGTCTTTTCATACCTCTCTCATTGTTTTTCTTTCTTTCTTTTTTTTTTCTTCTTTTTAACTTCAGATGGCTTGCTGACCTTTGGGGACTTCTTTGGCCCTCCCAGTGTTATCTGTCTTTTGATCAGGATTTATAAAAAACATGATTGTGATGGAGATGGGGGAGGGAGATGTGAAGATTGAGGAGGGGAAGAATGTGAGTCACCTCCGCTGCCTGCCGCCATGGTCCTAAAATGTTTCTACTTCCTTGCTCACGAGCTAATACCAGCGCTGTGGGAAGAAAGAGCGCCGTCTTCTCTTTCTTTCCCCCTTTATTTCTCAGGCTCCAAGCTGGCTTCCTTTGAGAAGAAATGACATTGATAAATATGTCTTGATAAACACGTCTTCCAGATTTTCTTCAGTTACGTCTTATGACAATTCTCTCTAGTGGGCCCAGATGGTCACACACTGCTCTCCTCTCACTTCACTTGGGTCTCCTTGATTACCTGGACTGCATAGGCTCTGGTTAAACAGTTGCCTATCCTTGCCAGGTAGTCAGTCCATCAAATAAATAACAAAATCCACCTCTTCCCCATACCTGGGGTGAAGAGACCTGTGTATGTGGTTCCTCCCTCCTAACCTCAGTGTCTTTGTTAAATCTTAAAATGTAGAATTCACAGGATACTTATTACAGACAGTAAGGGCTTTGTGAGGCTGCAGATTTGAATACCCTGTCATAATCTACTTCTACTCTCTTCTGTTCTCTTATAAGATGAAGGAAATCAGCTTAATCTGCAGAGGGTCAACTACATATTCCTGCTGAAAATGTTGCTTTGTGACCACTATTTTTTGCTATTTTCTGCAAGATTCTGGCTCAATATTGCAGACAGAGGGGAAGCTACCCAGTGCAGTTGGGTCTTATGGAGCCTCCATCACACTGGGCATTGGACTTCTTGTTTTGCCCTTCCATTTTCTAGAGATGGAGGTCAGTTAATTGGGATTAAGAATTGCTCACCTTCTGCTTAAAACTGTCCTTTTACTTTTCAGCTAAAGGTCTTGATTGTGCTGATTTCTAGGAAATGTGGACATTGAACCCACTTTTTCTCTGACATTTACTCATCCCAGCCTGAGTCATGTGTGATGGGGCTTACAATTAAAGTCTCTCTCTCTCTCCCTTTCTTAGGGTCTTCTGATGTTCTACAGGTTTCTTTCCTGAGATAGGCCACCTGGTGCTGGAGCTTTCTACTGGGGTTTCTTCCTTCCAGGAGCAATAGAAAGGCAGGTGTCAAGGAACCATTATGGATACCTCGGACTCTGTAGCCCTGGGCTCCATCCTTCTATGGGCCGGCTCTTTGGCTTTCTTCCAGCCCTCTTCCAAAGCTCCCTCAAGTGGGAGCTGACCTGTACCTCTCTAATTGTCCCTTTCAGAACACTTCCACCTGCGTCCGGGAATGCTGCTGCACCTGAGAGGCTGGAGGCTCTGAAATACCAACGGATAAAGAAGCCCAAAAAGTCATCCAAGGGCTCTTCGAAGTCAAAGAAACGATCCGGTAAATGGTGGGAAGCACCTGCTCCTCTCTTTCCACCTTTTCTGTTGTCATGAGGCTTGTCAGTTGGGTCCAGGATTCCAACCTTGGGTTTTCTCTAGGATCAAATTCGTTAGCTTCTCTTGTTCTTGGTTTAAAAAAAAAAAAATTTTTTTTTAATACTCATTTTTATGTGATGCTGAGGATTGTACCCAATGCTTCACACATGCTAGCCAAGTGCTCTACCACTAAGCTACAGTAGCCTCGGCCCTCTTGATTTCTTTTTAAACATTCATTTTCAAGTAATACACAAATGTAATTTTCATCTATAAAATGAGAAAGATAAGGTTCAAATCTGACTGCCCCCCTACTCGATTAATTTTCTCTCACCTAGGAAACCACCACTCTATGTGTCTGCAGAGTATTTTCTGTGCATGTGGCATTGTTTTAAGGTGTTTTTGAATAACATAAATAGCACTGTGTTCTTTTTTCCATTTTATAGCATACTGTGCAAATAGACCTTTTCCTTATGTATTTTTCCTCTAAAATTTCAAGTCTTCTAGTTAACACAGGAGTAATGGTGCTTAGATTACATGTGGCGTGGACCAGCCTCTACAGGTTGATCAAACTTTTCTCAGTTACATCGAGTAAAGTCTCATTATCATGTAAAAGGCACCTCCATTGAAATATGTCTAATGTTTATCCAACAGTGAAAGGTAGCTTCTAAAATAGCACAAAATGACTCAGTCCTCCTTCAGAAAGTTCCTTGAGATTTAGCAAAATACTGTTTCTACCAATGGTTAAGAATGTTGCTGTCAGGAAGAATGCTCAACAGTTTCTTTGCAGACCTTTGATCACTACTATAGAGCAACTTCTTTCATAGATAATAGAAAAGTGTCACAAATGTGAAGCCATCTGAATCATTAGGATATGGTGATTGATGATCTATCCCTTAGCCTTGTGTGGTGCTGGTTTCCTATCAGTTTATAGATGGTCATATTGAGGTGAAAAAAGAAAATGAATTTTCAAGGTTTGGGGGAGAAATCAGACCCCAAAGCTGAATTTGTGATCTGTTTAAACCCATCTTTTTTTTTGTGTGTGTGTGTGTGTGTGTGTGTGTGTGTGTGTGTGTGTGTAGTCAAGTATCACCTAACAATATTCTAAGAAATTCATCTTGAGGCAATTTTGTCAACTAAAACTGGGATGGCTAGGACATCACTAGGTGGTATCTTAAGGGACTATTGTTGTATATGTGGTTTACTGTTGGCAAAAATGTTGTTATGTAATACGTGATTGTAAGTTATAATAATAAACAAAATTTATTTTCTTATTGCAAAATAAGCCTTGTCAGATTCTCTTGTTCTGATGATGGTGGACCTGGAACCTGTTCTATGTTGACAGCTCTCATGTCTGTCCTTAGCCCAGGTCTCATCTATAAAGTCAAGTTTTGTGTTTCCAGTTGACTGTTGAACATGCACTTAGATGTTTTAGAAACTTTTATAATGTCCCGTAGAGTAATTGATTATTCTTTCCAAAGTAGCTCCTTCCCATTCTTCCTCAGTTTAGTAAATGACATTGGCTTTTTACCTGGATTCTTCTTTTGCTCTCATGGCTTATACCCAGTTCCTTTGGTAAGGTCTGTTGGCCCAACCTTTATAACATATCCTGAACTTGGCCAGTGTGTGCTGAATCTACTGCAAAAATTGCAGTCTGCATCCCCCTCCTCTCGTGCCTTGACTGTTGCAGTACCTTACATCTGGTTCTCCTGTCCTACCCTCACTCCTTGTGGTGCACATAGCAACCAGAGTGAGTGTTAGAGGACAGAACAGTTTTCTCTTTTTCAATGGTATGTGGGTACATACATGCACACATTTGCTTCTGGTTAAAACCTTTCAGAAGCCTACCCCTTGTAACCAGAACAGATCTCAATCTCCTTCAACACTCCTGTCAGTCTTCCTGGGCTGTGGAACATGCTACATTTGCTCTTAACTCAGAACTTTTGCACTGGCTGTTCCTTGTGATGGAATAATTTTCCTTTAGGTCTGTGGAAGTCTTATAATTGAAGACTCAGTTCAAGTGTTAAACCATCAGGGAGCAGAAGCAGTGCCTCAGTTGTTTGTTATCACAGGAGTGTTTTATCTTTCATTGTTGTACTTATGGCATCTGAAAATTCTGTTTCTCTTTCTCCCAACTCCCATACTGAGGTATAATCCTATAGAAAGCAGGCCTTTCCCATTATACCCAGTTCCTTTGGTAAAGTCTATTGGCTCAACCTTTATAACATATCCTGAACCTGGCCAGTGTGTGCTGTCTACTGCTAAAATTGCAGTCTACATCCCCCTTCTCTCCTGCCTTGATTGGCCATGAGGCAGAAGAGTGCCCCTGGCAGTATAGGAAGGGTCCAGGCCTGAATCTATTGCAAATGATTAAAATCAGTGTAATGTTCATCACTGTTTGAGGTAGATGCAAAAAATTGTGTCCCAGCCCATTCTTAGAAGCCCTGATTCCTGGTTTCTACAATGATACTTGGTACCCTGTAGATAATGCCAAGGAAATATTTGTATATTGATTCATGAGATCTATGAATTTATAGAAGGAAAAATCATATCTATCCAACTTTTTTGACTCTCATTATAATGAATAAGGTTAGGTTGAGCAAGGTCAGGTTGGTTGTTGCCTTAGCAGTAAAGAAGGTGGTTTCTCTTTAATTCAGTCTCATCTCTAGTACACTCAGGTGATCCCTTTGTTTCACTATTAGAAACTTAGTATATATGTCCTCACTAGTGCCAAAGGTGAGTGCATGAGGCTGCATTCTTCCTTTTCACCTCCTTTCTCTTTTCTTTGGTGTGTCTGTTTCCTTCTCTTTAGACGGTTCTGCCTCCCAGGCTCAGCAGCTTCCCAACTCTCAGGTTCTGTGGCCCGACGAAGCTGTCTGCCTCCGAAAGAAGAAGAGACACTCTCGTCCTGACCCTTTTGCCCGGCTCTCAGACTTGTGCCACCGCCAGCTTCCAGAAGACCAGACAGCAATCCTCAACAGTGTGGATCATGATGACCCAGGCCATGCCACTCTGCTATGACTCCACACCACTCTAAGTGTCCCAGGGCAGGGTCCTGGGCTGTGGGGGCAGGGAGGGACATCATGTGGGGCCTCATCCTCTGTCCACTAACACATGGCTCAGACCTTTGTCCTGTGTGCCCTCTCTCCTGCCAGAGTGGAAGTCTTCCCCCAGATCGTGGCCAGTTGGTCTTGTCCACAGGACAGAGGGCTGGGGCAGACCTTCTGCCTGTGGGTCAAAGTCAGGGAGCAAGTTGGGGACAGAAGGGCATCTGTCTCCACCCACCTCTCCCTTGATTTTTCTCGCTTCTTCAATGTCTTTGAAAGTGAAGAAGAGGAAAGCAATGGCTTTTACTGCTCTCTGCTTCTGTTTTAGTTTTTTTGAGTGCTGGGAGATGGCTAGACTTCTATACATCTTTCAAATTCCACATATATATAGATATAGATACAAATGCACATGTATGTAGTTGGTGGGTTTCTCTATGTGTATATATATGTACATTGAAGCAAAATGCTGTTTCTTTCTGTGGTCAATGAAGGAAAGAGGAGGGCAGTGGACAGCTGGGGTTTGTGAGCAGGGTTGGCTGTGAGCTGGCTGGGTGCCCTCATGTCTGTCTCGAGGGATTATTCTTGCTGAAACAGGATTCATGTCTCTCAGCTAAATTTACCATTGTTCTCTCTAACTTGCCCCAACCAGAACAGAAATGGGGCCCTGCCATGATTGCCAGCTGCCTGCTTTGCAGGTTTAGCAAACCGTTACCACTGAAATAAACACAAGCCTTTCTTGCTTGGTTGCCAGGTGAAGAAAGGGTGGCCAGGCAAAAGGCCAGACTGGCATCTTCTTACCTTCCACAGTTTGGCCCATGTGACAAAGGTAGATGCTGCTTTGCAGTGGCAGGCCCCGGTGCACAACCAAGCAATGGCAGGCCCTGGTGCACAAACCCGAGCTCATGCAATCATGCATCAGCTGTTCCTATTGGTCTAGCCAGGGCCAGGAGCCCTGCAGCCTAAGGTTCTCTCATTCTGAGGCCACCTGTGCAGAGCACCAAGCTGCCTCAGCTCTATTTATATCACTCTCCAGCTCCGCACTCTCTGGAGTGTTGCTCCATGGTGGCTGATTGGCTCCTCCTTTCCTATTGTGGGAGCTAATTCTCCAGATTGATTAATTGCCACTTGTGTAATGCTGCCTGCGGCTCCTTTGCATACTTGCCACTTGCTGCCTGCCATCTCTGCTTTACCCTGGGGTCCCCCTCCACCCTGGGGACCCAAGCTCTAGTAGCATATCCTGAGGATGCCTCAGATAACTGTGTTCTGGGGTACTCTTTTCCAAGTACTCTTGAATAAAGCTTTTTGAGGCATAGGAATGGAGGTGAAACAGGGAGTAGGCAGGGGTGTGGGCCTTGGTCCTTCCTCTACCAAAATCTTATCATAGTTCAAACTAGCACCCAGAAGCTTTTTTGAGGCTATCTTCCTACTCAGATATCTCTTTCTCTTTCCGTGAGATAACGGTGCTGCCCAAGAACAGAACAGAAGACTAAGAATGGGGCAGAGAGAGGAATTGTTTTCACTCTCCCCTCTTCTTGTATAGGAGGCTACCCTTTTGGCCTGGCCTAGAATAATGGAAACTGCTAGGAACCTTGAAGTATTTCCTTCTTGGTGCTACTGCCTTGGTAGGTTTGGGGATATTCACTTCTTCCCCAGTGACCTGCTTGGACATTGACCAAGTAAGTCAAAGCACTAGAAGGCTTCTGCTAGTCTCATTGCAGTTGCCAAAGGCTCGGCCCAATGACCTAGGCAAGACATGGCCTCTGAGGGCTGGGAAGCTGGTCCTTTGTTGGAGCTTCCACTTTGGGGGATGGAATTTGCCTCTGTCAGCTAGGCCCTGGTGCTTCCTACTCTTTCCTAGTGAACTGGGGACCAACCCTTGAGGCTCTGCCATGTGAGCTATACCACAGCTACAGATCATTTATGGACAAGGGTGAAGAATGTGCAGTAGATGGTGTTGTATTGCTCTGGGACTAGGCTGTGCACCCTTGGTGTGGAACCTGGACCCTCAGCTAATGCATTCTGTGGGGCATTGGAGTCCACTTGACTACTGGGCAGCATCTCTAGCAAATTGGAAAAGTAGAGTTGTGTGCCTCTTTGAGTTTTTTTTCAGAGGTGGTGCTACCACTGCCACTGTGCCACATGGGCTGCTCACTAGAGCATCTCTCCCAGGATGTGTGGGGAGCAGACCTACCTGAAATATCAGTGTGGAATGTGGGGGATTACAGCAGGTCAGTCTGTAGTCTTTGTCCCACTGGGCTGGCCAGCCAAGGTCCTGCAATGGAAGGTGATTGCCATGCATCAGGTCTGGAGAACTATGGGATAAATTAGGCCAACTTATTAGTACCCTCCTGGGACTTCTAGTCCCTGAGGCCATCTGGGCCTTGAGGTTAGAAAAGAAGAAGAGCAGCTGATATGGAAGGCTTTGCTTCTTTAGGATGTTATACAGGGCCAAGAGCCAAACGTTGTGGGCTGAGGTGTCTCTGCCTACAACTGGGCTTTCCAGGGGTCCTGTGCCAACAAAGGTGCTGACTCCCTTCTTTTCTTGCCTCTGCCAGTGCCCTTTACCTCAGCATATCAGACCAAATGGTGGGAGCTGTGTTTTCTGCTGGCCACTAGGTGGCAGCTGTGCTGTGGTGTCCTCAGGGCAGGGAAGAGACCCAAGGCCTACCTATTTCTCTGTGCCCTTGGACTCATTCTCCTTCCAATGGGGGCTTCCTTCTTGTGACAGTGACCTTGGAGGCCATCAACCTTCCTGCATCCCTGGGAGCTATTTTAGTCTTTACTTGAAGGACTGCAAAGGAAATTGACAAAATATGGTCCTCTCTGTGTCCATGGGGTAGATGGCCAAGGTGTCACACTACATGCTGGATATGGGCACGTGCATAATAGTCCATTTGGGAACTTATGGATGCTGGGGGTGTTTCCACTTTTGGGAACCAATGTCCTTTGCACTCTGCCTTTGAACACAGCAATGACCACTCTTAAGTTTTCTAGTACTTTCCCCCTCCACTCTGTGGGAGATCACATTGTCTTCCAAACCCCTTTAGGATCTGGTAGCCTTGCAGTAGAAGTAACTCAGATAAAAACCTATTCCTGTAGCTCAGATTTTTGTCGGCCTCTTCCTTCTGCATCTTGACTGGAAACAGTGGCTGTTTCACCATTTGGTGATCCACAGAGCAGGAAGAGGATAAAGTGGCTCTTTAAGGGACATGAGAGACTGCAATTTGTTTTAGGGAAAGCGAGCAATAAGAAGGAGAAGGTGGATCCTGTTTCTTGGTTGGCTGGCTGGCCACCAGTGGAATCTGGTGTGGATTGTCAGTGTGGCCCCAGCAACTGGGAGTGGACCCTGCCTGTTGGCTAACTTAACTAAATAACAACTTCCCTTGAGAGACTGGGGGTAGGAGAGGCCTCCTCAGATTCTACTTTCTCAACAGGAAGGATGCCTTTATTCCAAAGGGCTGACAGGGTCTGCACCCTTCTATGAGGAAGGGTTTGGGTCACATGATCATGTCCTTGGGGGAAGGATCCAGTGGGGTGGATAGGGGTAAGTACTTGTTGATCTTTTTCCATGTACTCTGCCTTGATTTTTCATTTGCAATCTAAAATATTTGGGGTTGAACAGATTTCAGTTATTTATTCTCCTGCTCTTTTCATGCATAAGATACTCAGTAAGGTAAATTCAGATGTGGAATTTTCTTTTTCTTTTTTTTTCCTACAAGGTTGACAAACAGTAGCTTCAGGAGAGAAACAGATGTCACAGAGCATCATTGTATCTTTGCCACTGCCTAGAATTTGAATCCAGAGCTGAGATGTCTGTGACTGGGGATGTTTCTTTCAGTTTTGTTAGCAAAAGCCTTTTGGGGTTCGGGGGTGGGCTGAGGGAAGAATTGTAGATAAGTACATTTTATTAATATGTAGAAAACCCTAGGAAAAGAAAAGCTAATGGTTACTCTTGGGCTTGCTTTGCTTGCATGTAAAGGAGCTTTGGGGGCACGGCAGGGATTTGGGGGGAGCAGTGGGAAGAAGTCAAAGGGCAATGATGACTGGAAACCTAGGGAAGCTCTTGGATGCTCTCAGTGAGAACCATGAGCATTGCCAGTAGTGCTCCTGGGCTCAGTCCTACCTTTTGTGTCTTCTCCAAAATAAAGTCAGAAGCAAACTCCAGTAAGACAGAGATTCAGAGCCCTACATGGCTGCATTTGTGGAGTATTTGGGAGGTGTTTTGATGATCAGTTCTATGCTGAGTATGGTAATGATGGTGCAGGGGGACTCTAGGAAGGGTAGTTGGAGAGGTGGAGTATGGAGTAGAACCCTGATCCTTTGCCAGGTATATGTGAGGCTGGAAGGAAACAGAATGTTAGATTAGTCTGGAAGTAGGGAGCGAGGATCCAGGGATTGTAAACCCCAAAGCAGGGGACATTGAGCCTTACCATTCTCTTTGGGGCATGTGATAACTTAGTTACAAATAATAGAGTAGTATACACATTCCAAGAAAAAACAGTGCCTGCCTGGTAAGGGACAGGCTGAGGAGTGGTAGCAGTGAAGAGGCAGGATCAGTGGGGGAGGGGGATTAGCCACTGATTGCAGATTGTGGGTAGGGGCTGGCACACAGGCTCAGACTGGGTCTTGCTCTTAGCTGGACTTCTTTGCTTCTTCCAAAATTAGCCTCTAACACTAAGTGCCCATGTATGAACATCTTCACCATCTACTTCAGCTTTATCTGTTGGTTTTCAGGTTTCCTCAGGTCTAAAGCTAGGAGGGTTCTTTGAAATGCTCCTTCTATCACTAGCTCTTGGTCAGCAGAGAAGGAAGGATCCTTTTTATGAGCTTTGTGTGTTTGCTCTCATAAGAAGTGGTCGGTTGCTTTTCCTCCTCATTCATTATTTAAAAATGTTCACAAGACTTTGGAGATGACGGTAGAAGAGGAATGGGGCCTGGCATCTATATTTGTCATCCTTTCTTCTTGAGGTCTAGGAAATTACTTCAGGTCACGAAGCTACATAGTGGCTTCATGCCTAGGCTTCACTTTTTCTTTTGTTAAGTTAAAAAGTCACTAGTTTGGCTGAGGTGAGTAGATGAAAATGTTTCACCCTGTAATCAGAGACCAGCCAATCTTCTCCTTAATGTCTCCAACTCTGCTTCCTTTTGGATCAAGAGGCAGAATTTAAAATCTCTTTTTTAGAAGAAATCTATAAACCAAGGATCAAAGCCCAGATTGGAATTTAACATTCATACCAACTTAAAGTTTAAATAGGGGTGTCTCTTACTACCCCCTCCCTCTGACCCATAGTGAATCTGCACAGGTCCAGAGCCTTATTTCTGGACCCCTATCTATACTTTCAAATAAGTCTTTCAGGAGTAAATAAAACGTCCCCACCAGATGTTTTGTGCATTTAGTTGTGGAGAAGGTAATTTTTTTCATGATCTTTTTTTAAGTTGATAGAAAAATTCCCCATAAATTAAGCCTGGACCGAAGCAATCCATAGTTCTGTGTAGGATAAGGAAAATTAAGCATTAGTGAAATATTGTTAATGGCTGGCTTGGCTTTAGGGAAGAAGAGTCAGGATATCTCAATCACTAAGTACTTTGGTAGAATAGCAAATGGTCATTGAAATCACTTGGACATTCTCTTCTGTAGTGGGTCAGTGGCAGTCGTTGGGATTCTGAAGAGAGCTGATGACATAGTTGACTGACTTGGACCACTTGCTGGGAAAGCTAGTTTGAGAAATTCAACTAGTGTGGTACAATTTCTCAGCTCCCATCCTTGGTCTTTTGGTTGTCTACTAAATGGTGACATGAATGAATATCTGACCTATTTTTCTTCAGGGTCTTAAAGAAATGTGCCCTACCAATCCCATCTCCTCCTGGTACTAGGTTTCTTGGATTTATTTTAGGAATTAGGGCAAACTGTCCCTCTCTACCTCTTATACACATCAATTAGGTTCCCTTTCCTTCTGTCCCCCACTTCTATGTGGCTCCAGGGATCTTGAAATTGTGCATGGTTTATGATAGGGAGGTGGTTGGGTGGGGAAAGGAATTGGGGAGGGCACAGGGGTTGGGCTGGGAGGGGAATTTGCATTTGCAGCCTTAGAAATTCTGCAAGCACGTGGGATCTTCACATAAGTAGATGGTAAGGGCAAATGCTTGATGCTCCTCATTCTGGTGATGAGGGCATAGGGGCATTTTGCTTCTTTTTGACTTAGGGACTTGTGGAACATTTTATCTGATGGAGGGGAATGAATGGTCATCTTGCTATCCTTGGAAGGGAAACTGTCAGTCATTCTATCAGTGAATATTTATAGTGACTTCCATGAACAAAGATAAGCCTATCATGAGTTGACATTGTCCTGACTAGGTCAGAGAAGTTGGATTACCTCACCTGTCTCTCTGCAGGCACCAGTTTATCTTCCTGTTCTCTATTTCAGTGTTCCTTTCCTGGGTTCAGGAAGTAAGTGTGATGGGGTGTGCAATGACTGTGTCGTGTGTATGAGTGTGTAGTGTATACATGGTATCTATATGTTCGATGTGTGTTTGTGGCATGTATGGTATCTGTAAGTGTGTTGTATGTATGAGTATATAGTATGGTGTGAGTGATATGGGTTGTGTGTGTGGTGCATGTATGTATGCATGTCTTATGTGTGTGTAATAGATTTATAGGAACACACTGCTTTGCCTGAATAGCATCAGGCCTAGGAGACACTCTTTTTGGTTGGCTTTTTATTTGCTAGACAACTTTTATTTTGGGTAGGAGGGTCAAATTAGTAATACACTATCTTAAGTGTATTTTTTATGGAGATTGTATATAAAATTATATAAATATATAAAACTTGTTCTATTTTAAGGAGAGAGGGGAACTTACGTGGGGGGGTGGGCAAGAATCAGATGCAATAGTGGTGACTAACAGTGGAAACTTCAGGCAAGTGGTCCATGTGGGGAGTTGGGAGTGGGTGGGCAAGAAATGCAAGCTGGGCAGGATGAGTGGGGACTCATGCCCTCTGCACACATATATAAATATGAAGAAAACCTATATAAAGTATATCTGTCTATCTTATCTACATATCTATATACCTATATGCAGTCATAGTTTGCTTTATTTTTGTACCTGTGCTTAGAGATGCTTTGAGCAGTATCACCATCCCCAGGTGGTCTGGGGTACTAGCTCATGCCTGATGACACCTCTTCTCCATCTTTCCCGAGATAGACTCTCTGTTCAGAGTTTCTTGGGTCTCTCTGATGGAAATATGTATTTGTGAAACAAACTTTAAAATAACAAAACAAAGAACTCTCAGAAAGGACAGGTGAGTTGACAGTTGTAGGATATATTAGATCTAATAGCTGTAGGGAATCCAGATCCACATGTCTCTTGCTACTGGAGGGGACACTGATTTGAACTATTTGAAAGGAGTGATTGATATATAGTAAGAATGATGGAGAGTTGGAAACTGTGATTCTATCCCTGTGTGGCTATGGGTTGGTACCCAGTTCCATGGAAGGAATTCAGTTTAGTAGCTTGGAAAGTGGGAGGTTGAGATTGTCTAGGGACTTAGAGTTAACACCTGTTTCAGTTTATAGCACCTGGGCTTAGCAGTTCCTGGAGGGTATGGTGGTAAGAGAGATTGTGAGGCTGACAGCTTGGGCTCAGTCTTGATGAAGAGACACCCTGATAATTATTGCTATAGATTCTTGGAACAAGTGTGAATGTGATTATCTAGTATAAATATGTCATCTCTCCTGTTTTCATTTATTTTTAATTGGAAAATAAAGTGCCATTGGAAATGGGGTACTCCAATCCTAGGACAAGTGGAGGATCAGGAACGGGAGATTAGTTTGGGGCAAGACTGGAAAGATAGGTCCTAGGAGGATCTCCTTCTGCACTCAGCCTGGGATTTAAAAAACTGAACAGTGTTTTTGAAAGAATATGATCAAGAATGGAGCAGGAGTTCGTTTGTGTTTGAATAGAAAACTGGGTGACCTGAAGAATATCTCTTTGAGAATGCAAGACCTCACACACCCTGCAAGGCCATATGTCTTGTAACCACTGCCAGCATCTCCTAGGTGCTTGCTCGTCCATCTGACTTGCCAAGAACTCACAGGGATGTGTTTGAAGCTGGTGCAGTGCCAGATGGTGCATGCAGCCAGGAGAGACTCATAACTGCAATCTCTCAGCTCTTACTCCTGCTTGTCACTCAAAAAGGGCAATACTAACCCCTCTTTCTCAACCAAATGTTATGCTATCTAAGAGCTCTGTCCATGGAGTTTGATCATTAGAGGAATTCAAATGCCTCCGCCATGGGAAAGGCTTTTTATTTACTTGGGGGTATTATGGGAAGAGTGGGTTGGTGAGAAGCTTGAGTCTAAATCCTGATCCTAGACCTTATGTGACCCTGTCATTCATGAGGGCATTGTTCTTGGCTCTCCGGGGTTATCTGCTCAAAATACTTCCTGTTTTTCAAAGATACTGCAGGGAAAATTGGCTCTCTCCAATAATATTGGAAGGGCTTTGATACTGGGTCCATCTTTGCAGGTGACCAGTCTTTCCTGTAATCTCCTCAGGAGGCTTAAGGAGTACACAACAAGGTGTTTCTTGTAAGATTTTTCTGGGAGGTTGAGCAAGTGGAAGAGCAGCAAATTCTATGTCCCTTCGCAGGTTGCAACCTCTCCTGAGCTACCAAAGCAGGATTTCCATTACTATTCTTTTGGCTCTTAGAGCCCACCTCTTCTTCTCTATAGACTCTCTCCCACTTATGGTTGTATGTCACCAGCAGAGTCAATCACTTCAGCTCACGAGCACCTTAGAGGGCTCATACTCCATGAGGTCCCAGGGCTCCTACAATACTCTGCTCTTTCTACATTGAGCCAAATGCTTGATCCTTAGAAACCTCAGTAGCACCAAGGTACATGAGATTGGGAGTCTGTACATTTCCATCCCATTCCTCAATGTCAACCAGAACCCTTCATTTTGGGGAAAATGGAGAAGACAATTGCAACTTTAGAGCCTGGAGAGAATGTGTTACCTATGTCCTTTCCTTGACACAGCCCTCAGCAAGATGGTGCAAGGGTTGGGCATTAGAGAAGAAAAGACTGCTAAGCACAGTATCAATCTCCCATTTCTTGGAACAAAGGGGATTGAGATCTGATTATATATGGAGTAAGCAGGATGTCTTGTCTTTGAATCTCTCAGTTAATTGGACTGGTAGGTGGGGAGGTGCTCTGATGAGGCCTTTGAGACCTATAGCTGCTTTCAGGACTCTTGAGTTCCTCCATGTGCTTGTGACTTTCTTCTTGGTCCCCAGGATACAGAAGGCATCCTGAATTTTGGTGCTTTCTCTTTGAGAAGGAGGTGGGGAAAAATCTTTATAGAGTTGTAGTTTTGCTACCTCTGTCTACTGTGTGGAATAAGACTGTGGAGTAGACCTGCTGAGAATTGCTGTCCCAGGGACCAGGGTGGAATCTGTCTTCGCATTGTCATCAACCAGGAGCTTGGAGAGAGGGGCTTGTCCATTTCTCCTTGGCTTTGGCTGGGCCCTCCCACTCCTCTTTGTTCATATTGAACCACTTTGGGCAATATCAGTGTACGATGTGGAAGAACAGGTGAGCCTACACATGGCTCACTTTCTCTCCATGAGGAATTCATCATGATACTGGAATGTGGGGGGTCTCTCCTGTTTAGTAAACTACTAATGTTGAATCCAGGGACTGGGAAGGGTAGCTTTATGGAAGATCTTCGTGCTAAAATTTTTAGACTGAGGTGTTAGATGGGGAAATGGTGATCTAACACTCCGTTTACTAAGTTCATATACATCAGTATAAGAAAGTTTTAAAGCTCCATTCAGATTTTGTTTTCTGTCTGCCATTTGTGGGACCAGAGATTGAAGGTGTGGATGGGGTGCACTTTCCCTGGTTGCTTGTTCTTGTCCAACTTGTTGACATGAAGGGGCTACATCCTGCTTCCTGTCAGTAACTTTTGGCCTCTTTTATCATCAACTTTATCTCTTCCACCAGGAGGGACTATATCATCTGGATATATTTCTTACATTGCATACCTAGAGGTCATCATTTTGATGTGAATTTCTTTCCTCCTGTCACCCTGTGGTCTATAGACACAGAGGGTGGGGGTGAAGAGATGGTGTGGAGGAAGGAGCTCTCAATGCTTCTTCCCCAAGACCTCTTACCAACTCCATACCTCCAGATGCTTGGCAGCCTCTTGCTTTTATTTCTTCTTTTCCAACAAGTCTGGATAAGACTATCGGTTTCGTCATGAGATTTCTTGCTCTCATTTCGAACTTTTTTTCCTTACTCAACTTTTTTTGGGGGTTCCCCCATCCATGCCAGATCTTCTTGTAAAGACCATTCAAACCTCATTTTCATTTCTTGAATGTTGAGTATTACAACATCACTGCGCTAGGGTGCTTTTTGGTGCTGTTCCTGAAGATGCCAGCTGGACAGAACTGCTTTTGTCCTACTGGTCCCTTAGATCTTGCTGTATTTTATCTTCTGTGAGTTTTTTTTTTTTCCTCTAGGGATTTGGGGTGGGAGATTTAGGGGTGGCTTTTGTGTTCTCTCTCTTTATGTCTTCTCTGTATTTATGGATTGGTTAAGGTCAGTTACCATGGGCAGCTGACTTTGTGATATTGGTTGGCTGACTTTGGTTCCAAATTAAAGACAAACCAACAAATTGTACAGCTGTGCACAGAACACCTCTCTGTGTGAATTTGATGGCAACTAGAGGCTTACTTTTTGAACTTCAGGTATGTAACTCAAAAGTAAATAAAAACTATTTTTTCAGTAAGCTTTTTTTTTTTTCCTTCTAAAAGGTAACATAGAAATCAAACTATAAGAACATTAAATCGGTGCTGTACCAAAGCCTTATTCAAACATATTCTACACTCTGTATAACCTGTCTCTGCGGAGCTCCCTGCTCCATCACCCTGTTCTCCAAAGCCTGGGAATGCCAGCATGTGCCAAGCCTGGGGCTGGGTCTTAGGGACCTGTGAGCCAAGGGGTCCCCTGGGAGTAGAGGATGATGGTAAAGATGGGGTACTATTCTATTGAGCAAATGCTGAAAGAGAACCAGGCATTTGTGAGTGTGTGTGTGTGGAGTACATGTGCACATGTGTGTGTATGTGTGTGAATATATGTGTGTGTGTGTGTATGTGTGTGTGTAAGATTACAGGTGCACAATGCCAAAGTGAATGTGCTAACTGGGGGCTTGAAAGGGAGACCCAGGTTGGCCCTGGGAATGGGGCAGTTGTGGGAACGAAGGGGGACATGGTCTCTTCTGTTTCCCACATCCTTCCCTTTTTTCTCGGTCAGGGAGTGGAGGTGTATTAGAAATAGCTACACTCTCAACCAGGTGCTTTTTCCTCAAAATATTCAAACTCTAAGCATTTATAAAGGGCCCATCCTAGGGGCAGGTACCTCTAGCCACCAAATCACAGACATCCAAGACTAGAAGGAACCTTTCTTCTCCTGAACCCTTGCTTGGTTTCTTGGGGGAAGAAAGTTGCTCCAACAGGATGCCTGCACCTTCTGTTCCTTGACCTGGGGCCTATTGTAGCTGCCACCTCTCTCTAGGCTGCCATTTGGCTGCCCTACTCCTTTCCAACCCACTGAGACGACCCCACTGGAGATGACCCATAAGCCACACCTGCTCCATGGCCCTAAGCAATAATTCCTGCTCTGGCTACCAATGACAGTGATTCCTTTGGCCTTAGACTTGCCAGTTAAAGGTAATACCCCAAACTCAAGTAGGGAGAGAATTTACAGTCTGCCTTAGTTCAGGCTGCCGTGCCAGGCTCCACTCGCTGGTATTTTCAGGCTTGCTGAATACTATCCAACTCATCGCCAGTAACACTGCATGTTCATATCCTGAATTAAAAGTCAAAATGAGCAAACAAGTACATAAGCAAACAAACAAAAGGGGAGAGAAGAAAAAGCCACATCAAATGACCAGATGTGTAGCCAGTGAAGATAGCCCTGGGAGTGTTGCAAGTTAAACTGATTAAAAGAAGTTTAGTATTTAATTGCTCCTCATGTAACATTACTCTGCTTCAGAAATGTTTTGTATTTTGATATAAATAAACATTTGCTAAAAAAATTCATTTTCTAATTATTGTTTGTACCTAGGAAGTATTTTCTGATGTTACCTGATTTCACTGCTGGCCCTAGGTCTCCCTAATCAACCCTTTGTAAACTCATAGCTGAACAATGATTCTGAGAAGATTTAAGGCTTAAAGTAGGTACTCTTCATTCATTGCACAAATATATGCTGAGGGTATATTATATGTGCATCACTGAAATGTTCTCTTGGGATCCACCAGTAAAGAAAATCGACAAAGTTCCTGTTCTTAGAGGATGTATATTCTAATGGTAGGGGGAACAGGTAATAAATGATTATTGCAACAAGAAAATTACATAGAATGCAATAGGTGGTCAGTGCTTTTGAAAAAAAAAAAATCCAATTGGATCCGGAGCAACTGATGTCTAGGGGGAGGGAGTTGATTGGAGGCGAAACAGGAGTGATCGGAGTGGGATTCACCAGGAAGGTAGTACTTGAGCAAGAACTGCAAGAGGGTAACCAATTTTAGTGTTGAAGGTATATTTTATAAACCTCTTTACTTTGTAGCCTTTTTACAATGCCTGAAATCTTTTCTGACTCTGCAATGATGTGATGAAGTCATTTTTCTGATTTGACTCCACCTTTGTCTAAATGAGTCCTCCAACAGAAAAATTTCATATGCTTTGAGTCAAGGTCAAGTGACTTCTTGCCATTGAACTGTGTCTTTTCCTTCACTTGAAGGGATTAGCAGCCTTCACCATTTTATTCTCCAGGGTGGTGTGGTATAGTCGCCTGTCTTAATTGAAATCCTTTCCTTCCCTGACCACATCATCATTCTCATTTGTTAACGTCCTATCTTCTGTCTAGGCACTACCCCCAGGCTATCAACTCTGACTATGCTTACTTCTCATTTTATTTGGGATTTTGTTGGAGGGGAAATATACTGAAATATGATCTTTTTATGCCTGTTGTTCCAAGTGAAGAAAACAATCAAAAAATAAGTCCATCTACAAATTTCATAACATCTGTTATGGTTAAAAAGTCTGCATATAGAACCCCTAGAAACTGTCAGGTGGAGATGTTATACCATGGGAACCTTCTAGAATTCATACAGCTTTCCTCTGCTTCAATTGGCAGTCACAGTTCTCATTCTTAACTCATTTCCAGTTCTTCTTTCCTCTGTCTTTTTATTACCAGGTCATAATGAAAATACATATTTTTTTTGTTTCTTGTACACTTTGACCTGAAATTTTTTGTATTTCTTTTTAAAATTTTTTTCTTTTTTAGATGTTTGTAAAGTGAATTTTGACATATACATACATGGAGTATAATTTATTCTAATTAGGATTCTATTCTTAATTTTTAAAAACTGATACATGGAGTGATTTGCTGCCTCCCTTTTATACAAATGAACATGGCCAACATTGCCAAACCCATCTTATGAACGTGAAGTCCTGAGTTTCACCCACATCAGGTTGTGAACCCCTGGGTCCTCCCAGGAATAGGTCTTTTACAGGTGAGGTTGTTGACTTCGATACCGCCCCTCCCCTTTTTTAAATATTTGCAAGCTCCGAGGCAAAGCAAAATATAAATAATAAATAAACAAAAAGGAATGAAATAAAATAAATATTTTAGGAGGAACTTCTGTGTTAAATTGTGATATTTAAAGAATTTTAGCCTTTTTTTTTTTTTTGGTACCAGGGATTGAAACCAGGGGTGCTTTACCACTGAGCCACTTCCCTCTAGCCCCCCCTTTTTTTTTTATTTTGAGACAAGATCTTGCTAAGTTACCTAAGGCCTCACTAAGTTGCTGATACTGGCTTTTAACTTGAGATCCTCCTGCCTCTGCCTCCTGAACTGCTGGGATTACAGGACTGCACCACTGTGCCTGGCTGAAGTTTAGTGTATTTTAAAATTTGGTTCTAACTTCATGTTGACAAAGTATTTCATAGTTTACAAAATAACTTCGTGTTTATTTTATTGGCACTGAGAGTAATTTTATGTGTTAAGTAAAATACTTAGTGGGAATACTTGGTGGGAACCAGTGAGTGAGCTAATCGATGGATGGCTCTTCCTTTCCTTTCCTTTCCTCTCCTTTCCTCCTTGCTCCCTCCCTCCATCGTTCCCTCCTTTCCTTTCCTACTCTTTTTCCACAAAGGCTTTAAGGTACCAAGAAGTTGCCTAGAAAGTAAAAATGAGGCCCCACCACTTTCCCCCTTAGAATTCCTTTCACAGGGACATGGCATAGTCCCCAGGATTCCTGTATTCCCCCAAGTGAAGTCATATAATCCCTTGGAAATCACTGAGCAGTGCAATACATTTATTAGTGAAGATTCAAATAAATTAATGTGATGAAGAGAGGGCTGTGGGGAGCCCACGTTACAGCAAACCTTATAGGCTAGATAAACCTCAGGACAACTGATTTCGCAGGCCAAGACCCCTTGCTTTTAGGTCTGTGGAGGTACCCAAGTCAGTCCTACAGATTAGCCAAAGTCTTTTTGTGTGTGTGTTCCTAATCTCCCTTTTTGGGCCCTCTTTCCATGGAACCCTTTTCCTCCATGGCCAGGAGCCAAGGACATTTGTCTACAAACCTAGTGTGCAAGAGGAATTCTTAGATGCTCTAGTTATTTCATCAGTGGGGGGATGAGCAGGACCCTGAGGTCCCAGCTTCCTTGTCCTGTTGCTAAGAACAATGCTTTCCTCTGACTCCTCAGTTCATGTGTATAAACCAACTGCCTTTACTAGGGCTTACTTCTGTTCCCTCCCAGGGAAGAAGTCCATGTCCTTGTTCTACCATTCAGTCAGGGATGAACCTGGGGACAGCACTTAACTATTCTGAGGGAACTCTGGAGGAGGAAGCCAGTATCCCTCCAGAAACAGTGACGGGGAGGAATACCTTCTTTGTGTTTGTATATCCTCTCAAACACCAGGGAGCAAGCTCTGAGGGACTCCCATAGCAGCTCCAGGTGGAGATACCATGTTCTGCAGCTCAGTGGCAGCCATTCCAAGAAGGGGCATGCCACTTTCCCCTTCTCACTGGCAACCCCAATCTCTACAAGTGATTATGTTAGAGCTGTTATTTCACTTGGTTTTGAAGAGGAAGGACTTAGTTTCCACCCACGAAGGGAAGGATGGAAACACCTCTGAGCATTTATAGGTGCTCTTCCTGAGGCCAGAGAGTCTGGATTTCAACTCTCCCTTTCATCTCCCTCTCTAGCTCTATCTTATCAGCCATAGAAATGGTGAGTGGTGCAGAGCCAACTGCGATTCCTCTTGGGAAGCTGTGATGGAGGCAACCAACTTTCTTGAGGAGAGGCACTTAGCTCCTGTGTGTCCTCAGTTTGGGGCATTTGTCACTCTCCTATTGACAGGCCATAGGAAGTATCTCTTAACACTGTTTTACTTGCTCATTGTAAGTCCACTTTACTAGTGTGTGAACTCTTTGGAGGTGAGTGCCTCCAAGGAGTTATTTAAGTCCCAGTTGCTAGTAGAATGTGATAGGTCCCAAAAGAAAAACTTAAAATACATTTATCAAAAGGATAAATGACTGTTCAGAAAAAAATATCTTTAATATTCGACATCATTTATCTTGGAGGTTGTCTGTGCCCTTGATAAAAACAACTTCTATGGAATGATGGAAGCAGAAACTAAATCAGGGTGAAGCAAAGAGAAGAAAATGAGTGATTAGAGAGATAAGGTTATATGGACAACACTTTTGAGAAGCGTAGTGTTTTAAAATGGAATATTTAATAGAACATTTGAGGTATAGCAAGGCCAACAGATAAAAAGACAAATTATCTTTGGAAAGGTAGTTACAGTTCCTGAGAGAAGGGACATGCCATGGCATGTCAAGCCATGCCAAGCCATGGGGGCCACAAAGGGCAACTGTGCAGTTGGTCAGGAGACAGAGAGAGAGAGGGAAAATATGAACAAGAGAATTTACTGTAGTTTCTATGGGAAGGAATGTATGATGCCAGGTAAGAAGATTTAGTATTGGCTAGTTTCAATAGCTGCAGTGGGTTGTTGACATAGGGATGGATCCTTGTAGTCTGGTGTTTGGCTCTGAATTGACTAGAGCAGGAAGATAATGGCTCAGCAGATGAGATCCTCATAGAGCAGGAGGTAAAGGTATGACCTTTGCATTTAAAAATTACATTCATGGATGTGTTTTTTACTCTTTCTAGGAATTGGCTAGCTTTGGGAGGTCAATCCCTCCAGGGTCAGCAAGGCTCACATGTCAAATCTTAGGAATACGGGAAATAAAGACAAGGTTAACATATTTATTAGCAAATGGGTGCAGAGACATGGATGGTAGCCAGTGAAAGCATGTGCCAAGAGGATGGGCATCATTTATTTTTTAGTTAGATGAGATTAAAGCATATTTTTTTTTTGCTTCCAAAATCATCCAATAGAAGAAGTGACTGATGGTACCAGAAAAACGTTGACTCAAAGAGCATGGTTACTCATGAAGCGAGAGTGAAGGGGATCAGAACGCATATGGATGTATTGCCCAGAAGGAAGAAGAGTCTGTGATGTCATGAGAATTGGAGAGAGCTCTCATTTGAGGACTTGTGTTTTCTCGTGAATTGAGGAACATATTATCAGCTGAAAGGCCAGAGGTGCCATAGCGGTGGGGAGAAAATGTGAAGAATAAATGAGCTTCCCAGAGAAATGCTAAGAATTGCTAGGCTAGGGTTTGTGTCAGTTTGAAGTTGGTGATTATTAATAGGTTGTGGTTTAGCCAGAATTATGAATTTTCTAGGAAAGTATATGAAGGGAAGTGGGACAAAGTAGTTGAGGGTGATTATAAAAGAACAATCATTTGAAACCATGGAATCTGAAGGTTGTTAAGTAAACAGGAGGATAAGACTGATGACTAAGTGATGGGTCCATTTTGGAGTCTTGATTACTACTCAGTTTTTGAGTGTGACAGAGATAGCGTTGAAGTACTGTGATTAAAGAATAGAAACTTGTAGTCAGATTCTGGTTTTAACAATTTAAAGAAAGATTTTTCTGGTAATTACTAGGTTCACAGTCTT